AGCTACTTCACGGCAGAAATATGAATGGTAACATATCGTCATCATATCAGCCTTTAACTGTCCACTGTTGAACATAAGCTTCTTCCTTGGGGGGTATTGCCAGTAGTTGCCACGCTTAGCAAGCGGATTTGCAACCGCAGTTAAGGTTTGTAGATGTTTTAAGAGAGACACTGCTGCCCGCCCTTAGTCGCCTCTTATGACACCCACGGGAAGGGAAGATGTAGCCTATTTCTATGCCGGGACCACACGGCAACATCCATATGTTAACACATGGATCAAATTAACTACAATTTATGATAACCAGTAATGTTTACTCTACAAAAAAGATATTTTGTTGACACTTAAAAATATTATAATTTTTGCTTCGCTAAAAAACGGCTGCTAAAATCATCATAAATATGGGATCATCAAAGGGAATCGAAGGCAAGAATTGTCAAAAACACTTCAGGATTGACAGGACATTCATTGGATAGGCGTAATTGCATAAAAAATCAGACGAATTAACATTATCCTTCTATTAGACGGCGTTTAAAAAAATAACTAAGAAATGCTATACAAGCTAAGATGCCGCATCTTAAAACAGGCAGTAAATAACTGTATGGAAGCGCCGTATGGATAGCGTTTTAATAATCGCACCGAAATCCTCCGCAGCACAGTTCCACCCCGCATCTATTGAACTGTTCGCTGGAATTGGCAAGTGTCTCCAACAAAAATAGACTCAATAGCCGAGAGCAATTTTAAATGCGAGCGCAGTCACTGCGACCCCGTGCACGTGAACTGGGGTGCATGCTTGAATGCTATATTTTCTTGTATTGAAATAAATTTCGGTACGGATAATCGCAGTGGTGCAATGGGAGGCTAGGCACATTTATTTCAGCATAATGTAAAGGATTCGGTACATTTTGGAAGAATTATTTTTTATTATTATTTAAATGTTTCACAGTTCACTAGACTGAATCAAACGTCAAATATGATTAAGTTTTGTTAGTTAATTATATAATTCGAATTACAGAAATAGACACATTTGTCAAATTTTAAACTGAGATAACTCAGCTCCAATAAAATATTCATGTTCCACATAATAAAATTTACTGATGTTTCAAATTGCGACATTTCCGTGAACGGTCACTGAAGTAAAAAAAGTAGACAGCCGAAAACGATACCAACTCCCTTATAAATAAACACAATTTGTAGGTAATAATTGAAAAATAAATAATAAAAACAAAAGGAAAAACAGAATAGAGACACCTAATCTTTTTTTTTTTTTTCAGTACACTTAGTAAGTACGTTGTATTTAAAACGTAAGCAATCCCTACGTATAAATACGCTAAGGATAAGAGTCGAGTAAGCAGACATCAAGAGGACTACCCACAATAGCCCCATTAAAACCGCGAACACGGTTCACAGTTGAAAAGTCAAATAGTGGACTACAATATAACAGGGCCTGTAGAAAACAATGCGAGAACTGACATTTATTTCAAGGGAATCATCTATGAAAGTGTAAAAGTGCTCACTACTTTTTAAGAGACTTCTAAAAAGCACATTCACAATTCTTTAATAATATTTCATCGTGTTAGATACTAAAAAAGCTTGAAAATTCATTTATAAATTCCATATTTTTGGTTAAAAAATGTAACCAGGGCTTAAGTAAGCGATATCAAAACCAATACGTCTACATTATTTATAACTATGTACCACAATCAAGAATTCATATCAATAATTCTGATTATCGATTACCCATATTTAATTTATAAGAATTAAACAGAGGTTTTTCTTTACTAAGCAAAAACTGCTTAGTACGAAGCAATCTTCTTATAGATACACGATTCCACATTTTAAATTTCAATCTACGAAAAACCTTGTCTTTCTTAACTTTTAAACTTTCGCGTTGCATGATAAAAGTATCATAAGGATTCTGGCCCAATAGCTGGTCGAAACGTGAAGATAATCCTGGTAAATAACATATTTTACCTGAATAATCGCGTTAATTCCCAGCTCTTATAAACCATTAATTTTGGCTTTAATCGACGTATGTTCACGATTGATATTATTGAAAAATCGACTTTTTAACGCAAGTTTTTTACTAAAAACAGCTACTTTAGCAGTCACTATTTTTAGAGGAGCAAAACATACGTCTAGAAACAAGTTAGTAAAACCCAATAGATGTCAAAATGTGAACTAATGAAAGGGAGGCTAGGTGCGGGCCGGGATGTCGTTTCGCCCGACAAACTTGTAATTAGCGTTCGATGTGGCAATTAGTGACTTGCACGTTCGCGACACCGCGACCTCGAACTTGTAATGTGCTGCGGAGCTATTGTGAATGATGAATGAACCGTTTAATAATAAAGAGGTAGCGATAGCTGCTAAATATTTTTTAATTACTTTATAAACATGTTTACAAAACGTTACGAGGTAATGTAGCATTGAAGAAACAAAGATGATGATGGATCACGGTATATGAACGTAAGCATGATCATCATCATCATATCAGCTTTTAACTGTCCACTGCTGAACATAAGGCTCCTCCTTGGGGAGTTTTGCCAGTAGTTGCCACGCTTAGCAGGCGAATTGGCAACCGCAGTTAGGCTTTGGAGTTGTTTTAAGAGAGCTGCTGCTAGCCATCCCTCTTTCCCTTAATCACCTCTTACAACACCCACAGGAAAGAAAGAGGTGGCCTATTCTAGGGCCGCACGGCGATATAATGTAAAAATGTCACTCCTAAATTACTAGCCATGTTTTTTTTTATTTTGAAAGCATGCAGTCAATATCAACAATTAATAAATAAGTTAGATTTACAATTACAATAATAGACCAAGAGCTTCCTACAATAACATTGGATTTCTTACAGAAAATACCCACCCACCCAAAAAACAGCACAGTGAACTCGGTACTTTAATTAAGACATCTTTGAAGGTTGTCAATGAACATTTACTAATCTATATCTACTAAATAATAAATCTACTTCCATTATATAATATTATGTTTGTCATAGTACAAATACGTTGTTATTGCAAAGCTATTGGGAGGAAACATTTCCCCTGCACAAAACTTTTTCAAAAATATTATCACTGTAATTCAGTTTTGCCAATCTACAAACAAGTTTTAGACAAATTTAATGTAAAAACTCGGATATTAATTTCTTTGCTACGTACAATTACTCACGTCAGTTTCAGAAAATCTCCACTTCTCATTCTTGTTTTTATCAATTTAATCAACATAAGTCAAGTTCACTGTACCTCAGTACCTTTCCGATTGGTAATAATACAAAATTCTGCATCACATTCATCAATCTTTTATTAATATTTGGTATTCTATTAAGAATATAACCTGTGCTAGAACGTTCATGTATATGACTTTTAAACCGAGAGTAACAACGAACCCGAGCCGATTTCATTGAGATATTTTATTTGCTACAAAAAGTTTTTTGCTGCACAAACAAGAACGACAATTTCAAACGTCATAAAATAAATATGGAAACAACACGCACCAGTAAATTCTATAGATTTCGATAACAATTATCAAAATCGGTTAAATAGCCACAATAAAATATATACCTAAACGAGTACAGAACCATTCTTTTGGGAGTGATTTTAGAATATTATAGTCATATTACACAACCTCCTACAAAATTTCCAGCTCCGCGAAAAGTACTTACTATTATTGGAGTCTGCAGTAATAAAAACTTTGTCCATTTCACATTTTAAATAATACATAACAGTAAGTTGGTCTTGCAGTGTATTATAGGGAAAGACATACTCCAGACGCGTACATTTTGGACTCATTCCACAACATATAATACCCCCCAAAAAGAGGTCTTATAAGTTTAACGCGTCTGTAATATCATAACTTCCAAATGATAGAACCGATTATGATGTGTTTTTTTTTCGTTTAAAGCTTAATTTTTTTATTTTATTTATTATTTACCCCATACATTAAGGACTCAGTCAGTCTAGAACAAGCAGCTAATACTGAGCTACAGGAAGAAAAATATTGTTAGTAATGGAGAGGTTAGTTCCCACTGCTAGCAATATACCCTATCAGGTCGATCTCTATCCAGTTGCCTCTATCATCGTAATGACTTCATTCTCATCATTTCATTTAGTTCTTTTCGTCAATTAATTAGAATTATTTAGTGTTAAATATATACTATTTTAAATAGTAATTTTTCAACTGCAGATTAGTTTGTAAGACTCATAATGCAATTATTGTTGCATGCCTATAAGAACAAATGTTAAAGGTATATTCTAATTTATTTAGCCAACAAAACGAGGCATACATATTTCTATTAACACACCAAACATAGATATCCTGTTTCCATGGATATATTTAGTACCCGGAAGCTATTAGACACATGTTAAGAGTTAAGATATTAACTACTTTGCATAGACCATCATTTAATAACTTTGGAAGTAGACATACGAATAAGGCGGACTAGCCTACCTATTTAATTAAATCAAATATGCCCAGTTTACATTATTCCATTCGCATTCCAACAACAGTTAGAGCCAGTTTAATAGATACAGTACATTCCAGAGCCTGTCTAGATGATTTCAATTACAATACAGAACTGTATTCGATCAGTAGACTGAAGCATTACTGGTATAATGTCCGCTTTACACTATGTAAGTAACATTACAGTTCAGACATCGAATCTAACGCTTGATTCATTAATAGGGTAATACAAATGAATCATTTCATAAATCCCATGTCTTTCATGGTATAATGTTCGATTTACACTATGCAAATAGCTTTACAGTTCAGAAATCGAATCTAACGCCGAGTCGTTAGTTGAGTTACACAAATGAAATCATTTGAATTGATATGAATCAGCAAAGTGGCTGTATCCTCCAAACTAACTAGACAAATGACAAACGAATCTATCAACAAATACGTTTCCGTTAGCGTCAATAAGAATAAAACGCGCTTATGCAATATATCTAGATTTAGGCAAAACAGTAAGACACTCTTAGATCATACCTATATGACTACTACATACATACCTGTATCTGAAACATGGAGATACTGTCGTCTAACATCTGCACACGTACGGCAAGCATCTTGCCGCCCTTCTTGGGGGTCGCTGGCGGTGTGCGCGACCCCCCGCCCGCGCAGTCCACCCCTGCCGGAGTGCTTGCCGAGTGGTGCATACGGCCTGTAAAATTAGATAATATATCTATCTGCAATCTATAATGCAAACGAGCATGGATAGACAATAGGAAACAAGAGTCAAAGGCGAAATCCTTACAAACATCTTGTTTCATCCATTTTCTGAAGCAATTTAAAACCTAAAAAGTTCTGTTGAACTCATTCCTTTGTAACTGTCAACATGGACTGTAGCTGTAATATTATATAATTTGCGTAAGTATATATAATTTACTTATGTAAAAGCTTTTTCAACACAACGTCATATAAATGTTGACACGAAAATAGGTTTGGATATATGCAATATGATATGTATGTATCAGCCATTAACTGTCCACTGCTGAACATAGCCTACCCAACAGGGGAGGTTTTGCCCATAGTTGCCACGCTTGGCAGGCAGATTGGCAACCGAACTTTGGCTTTTGGTGATGTTTTAAGAGGAACGCTCCGACCCATACCTCGACCATTTAATTTTGTTAGTCGTCCCTTACGATACCTAGGAAAAAGAAAGATGTAGCCCATTCTATATCGGGACCACACAGTAACTCGACAAGATTTTTTTTATTTAATATGGGGAATGTTATTATTTTACTAAAATAGGATAGAATCAAATTTCCAATTTTACATTATGGTATTTAAAAAGATATCTCTTAAAGTTACACAAAACACGTTTTTACCTCCGGTACACGATAATATAGAATAAATAATGAAACGGAAGTAAGACGAATCTTATCTGATACAGTGCCATTTGCCATCTTATTAACAATCATATTTGTAGTGTAGATAAGTTTAAAAGCTTCACTAATTATAGAGAAACTAATAAACTAACTAATTATGGACAAAGCCTAACTGCGACATCCAACACGCTTGCCAAGCGTGGCAACTACGGGCAAAACTTCCCTTATGGGTAAGGCCTATGTTCAGCAGTGGACAGTTAACGGCTAATATAGATGTCAAGTTCAATGGCATTATAACAAAAGAACACAGATAGGTACGTTACAAGAGAGCCAAAAATTAAACGTGGACATGAGACCAAATTAACACCTCTATAACATTTGCATACACTTCCGCGCCAATGACGAACGAAAATAAGACGGCCAGTTATTTTTTATTGTCATTGTTTTAATGACTACAGTATGGCTGGAAAATATTACCGATTAGAATATAAATATCTATACATGAAAAAAAAGTACGAGTACGTCAAATTTTTTTAAACATTTTTGAACTGTTACGATACCTAAGTGAAAGACGATATAGTCAGAATGGGAATGAATTCAAAAATGACTCCGAATAGAGCTTAATGTAGGTGGAAAACATATTACACCTACACCAAATAATTGGAGTAAGAGCAGGAAGAAGAAGACGGCGGTGCTTATAGATAACATACATTTTTTTATTTCCTTTTTTATTTCTCTTTTTAAGTAAATATTTTTATAGGTTATTTAATATAATAAAATTGTAACTAGATGATATCTGTACATAAATATTTAGGAAAAATTGAAATGAGGCGTCTTAATAGGCACAATAAAAGACAAAATGGAAATTTTCCTTTATAGAAAATTTGACTGTCTGTATGGTTCGATTTCACAAAAAACCTACTGCACCAAATTAGATTCAATTTTCATATCAGATCTTAAAGGTTTAACTTACAAACTGATAGTTTTATTTTGATACCCTAACCTAGTCCATGAAATGGACCACCCACTTCATTGCTTTTCTATTTTTGAAATTCACGCATACGAAGTAACGAGCAAAAAGCCCGTTGATAATAATCATAAAGATTAATAAAACTAGGTGTAGAATATTATATAAAGAAAAGAAAGAATACTAGGTATATAAAACAGATTAAGAATGATCATATCACACACTATCTGCCAGTTTTCAGTCTCAAACCAATTTGATTCAAATTCTCATGTAATTTCACATGCGAAAATGTGACAATTACAATATGTATTTGTCACTCACTCTGTGTCAAAACAGTATTCGTAATTAAGTTATTATTTCAACTGGTGAGGGGAGGATTGTTAGTCCCTGTTGATCAAATAACCTTCACACTGTTCCCCATGGAAACCATTATGATACATTTTTACATTCTTCTATGAACCAATTGCTCTGAACGAAAAAGATTATTTGAGTTTAAGGACCCCATTTCAAACAATTTCGAAATATTTAATTAACAACTTAATTTTATTTACTGAAAAGCTGTTAAGGGCCTTAATTAATACAAAAATTTAACCAGCCAAGTTGCCTGCAAATAGTTTGCACTGAAAAACATTGTGGGAAATTTTTGGAGGATTAATCATAGGTGAGCCAAGTGATCTGACTTCAATCATTACTAATCATCCCTGGCTCCATTAGCTTAGACAGGATTACTAATGCATTTTCATCTCAAAAACAAAACAAGTGCTGTGACTTTGCTCACATTTTTTTAATAGTTGTGATGATAAATAATTTTATGATAAAAAGAAAATGATAAATTCTAATATTACATAGTAAAATACGATTTGGAACACAAAAGCTGAAAAACATGAAAATAAAAACCCAAAAAAAAAAGGATAGGTAGAGGACTCCCTATCCTCTATTTATGAAAAGGAACTCATGTGCAGCAGTGAGATATTAGGATTTATTATTATAGCTATATTTTGTATACATTTGTAGATTATTTTTAAGAAGTTTATACTAATGTTTGAAAAAAGCCTAGCCATCTAAAATTTTCCAGTTTATGATATCGTCAACTCATCTTTTCCTCTATCTTCTCATGTACCTTTTTCCTGTCATCTAAAGAATTATTACCATAATGAATTTTTCACACTCACCAGGCAGGGTGTGGTATCCGATGGTGGACAGATGTCCGGTGGAATTACAGCTACCCGGTGGCAATTCTGAGTCCATCATACTGCAGTTTTGTTGGCCACCGTTATTATAGAACCCACGGCCGATCGTTTCGGCGCCATTGTTCGTATTATACTACACATTGATCACTAACACCACTCCTATTTGTTAATACCTGTGAACAATGATATTAATAAATTATTTTAATGTTAACCAATAAAATGTGGTACAATAGGCGTACTCGGGAGAAGAAATTGTTAACAATGGGGATTAGTAGCCCCATTACTAGCAATACACCCTTACAGGTCGCTTAATGTTCCATTCCAAGTGAATTCATAATGATAGGCTAACTGATCTGCCTTATCTATTTTTATTACAATTAAAAAAAAAAGGGTGGACTTAATACAATAGGTATTCTTTAACAGCTTACTTTTTAGATATGCTTAATATTGGTTTGGCATTATATATTTTTACTTCAGCTATTTTACTTACTAATCATTTTATGTTAATTTATATAAAAATCTTCAAAACTAGCATGCATGAAATGAGTTATAAAAGTGGATACTGCATGAGATATATGTATGGAAGAACACCCCAGCAAACTATATTTTTTAATAGTTTTAAAGTAATATTGATCCCTAGGATTTTGTATTAACATAAAAATATACTTTTTTCCTTTAAAATTTTTAATAAAACCATAAATATCTAATATTTTAGTGATAGTTTAACAAGAGGATTAAACAATTTTGAATTATTATTAAAGATTTATGTTGTTCATGTTATTTAAATACCTTGCTATAATATAAATTATAAATAATAACCCTTTGTCCATCAATTTTCAAAGCTAAAGAGATCAACTTTGATATAAGGTACCTTAGGGTTTGTAGTATAAAAAATGACATAAGAAGAATTTTTTAAATTTAATATTTGAATGAGTTTATGAGAAGATAAATAGATAGATGTATCCAGAAAAATATAATAATTAAAATATATATAATTATGAACAACTGTAATATTTGATAAGGTAATCAGTCATTTGTCAACTATTAAGTAATTCACTACTATTCTAAATTTGGATTATTTGACAATTAAATGTGCCCACATTTAATTGATAAATAATTATGAAACCTTTTTACTTAACTTTTGATATACCAAAGTCATTAAAAATTGGTTATTGTACCCTCAAATTATCTATGATATTACTACACATATAATAAAACTTTTACTCTCAAAACTAGTAAACTAAACATTGATATGACAATTTTTATGGAGATTACACATGTCTTTAGTTTAAAATACCATGTTTATATTTATATTATAAGTAGATATAAATCTTAATGAATGTATTGATAGTTAACAGCTAATAGTTTCTAAAACAGAAAATTAATTACAGAAGAAATAAAGAAACATCCTTATTCTTATTATTTTACATTAATTATAAAAATAGTACATACAATAAATTTTTAATATGAAGTGACACTAAACGCAGTTTCATCGCTAAACAATCTCACCCAGACAACTTAATTCTGAATTTATTCCAAATATGATAAAACCAAAAAGTAATTCATTTTAATATAAATTCTCATTTGGTACAATAATATACAAATTCTATTTCTATGTTAACATAGAAAAGGAGACAGGTAACTTTGAAACAAATTTACAACTATGTATGTTATGTCAGTTGGGATGTTGTTAACCGATACAAAAAAAGTACATTTCTATGTTAAAAGTATATATTTATCTTCTGATAATAAATTACTACTAATTACTTTAAGTACATAATTTTTTTATTAATATATACCTGTAATTTGTAGTAGTTACCCTCACTTGTTTTCCAAAATAAATAAAAATTTATAAAATAACAACAAATAGAAATCATAGTATAATCTTTACATTTTTTAGCTGACAAATTACAACTGACAATATATTAGTATTATGATAGTGATGATTAGTTACTTTTTCAAGCTACCTATTATATTAAGGTAGACAAGAGAAACTACCTGTTAGTGACATTCTTGTAACACCAGGGCAATCACCCTTGAACCATTACTAGATAAACATACACTATGCACAATTCCACTGTAAATTCGCAAATATTTGTCACAGAATTAACTGATCATACGCGGGTTTTAAGGCGGTCGGCGCCCCAGTTTACACCCTTAGACATAAATAGTTAGCTTCAATGCAATAACCAGAAAATAGGTCACCGTAGGTGTGCCCGGCCACCCCGACAGAGACAAGAGACGACGCACTGCTATCGCCGGCGCGCATCATCTAAACACTCTTGCAAATTTAATTATACCTACACCAACTCCGCTCTACGTTTTGCCAACCACATAATAATTTACGAGCAATGTAATTTCAACTTATGCGGTACTAATAAAGTGTAGTCATAATATAACTTACTTTCTAACAAGCACGAAACAAAACCAACGACGCATCAGAGCCCCAACTCCCGTCGTCTGTCAACAGGCACAGTCATTGATCTAAATGGTGATATAATATAAAACCACTTTTAACAATGACAATCACTAAATAATCACTGTCACTATATTTCAAGCGTAACACCACTTAAATCTAATAGTATTTTAGCGTAAAACAAATGGTAAATTGCACTTCGCACACCCAGTAAGATGTAAACGCCATATTTATTTACCTAAACTATGTTGCTAGAAAATAGAAAAATTCTACCATAACTTACAATCTTGCCATTTTAAAATTACCGATAGACGATATTATACTATGTTCCCCGGGGAGAAAGGGATTGTTAGTAGCGAGGTCTAATAGCCCCATTGCTAGCAATATATTCTCTCAGGTTGACCTCCACGCGGTTCCCCCTGGTAACCATCATGGTTAATTCTTATCGTATCCATCATGGTGGGTCAACTGAACCTGCATTCATTCTCACCTATTACCTTCCACTGGTGCCCCGATATCGTATACCCGTATACCGATAGCGCGGGTGTGGTGAATATTCCATTTTCACTTATTAAAAAAAAACTATGTTTACCCCATTGTAATCCGATATTTGGCGTACCCTACAATTCAAACAGTCACATAATTATAATAAAGAAGAAAATTTAATTGTGCTATATAGTAACTGTAAGCAGGGCCGTGATCTTGTTCATGCTCGTACCTCAGCAACAATTCGGGTATTTCCCTTTATCCATATATATATATATATATATATATATATATATATATATATATATATATATATATATATATATATATATATATATATATATATATATATTTATGTGTATGTATATATATTTATCAATTGGTTTTCAACGTTCATTAGCGCGTCATTGTAAATTAAATCTTAAAACTGTGTTTTTACTTATCATACCCATGTTTCCAATAAATATAGCTTGATTATATTAACATAAATGGATTTATTTGAACTTCTACAACAAACTTTCTTGTATTTTATTCCCATTACGAAACTACTAACTACTAATTTATAACATACATTACTAATTTATTATTATTATTAACGTATACGGCCGTATAACCCTATCAAATTCAGATACAACTTGCTTGCATACTTTCTACGTAAACTGTATCGAATATATAATCTCATAATGTAAAATTTGGCATTGACAAATAATTGACATATCAAATATTTTCTGTATACTAATGTGCTTTGAATTGAGAAAAATAGCATCTGATGGTGTATCTTTCGTCCTCTTTTTACAAGTTATATTTGCATAAAAGGAAAGGAGGCAACCATAAGACTGCCATTTTTTTTATTATTATCATTCCTTCTATGTAATTCCTTGTTCTTAGACTTTAGATGACACAGTCTTTAATCTGTGATTATAGTTTCTGTAATCTGTGATTATGGTAAGTACGTCCTCAAAACTAAAAAAACATTTTGTTTGTAAACTTTCGTTTGAATACTTATGTACTATTTTGATTTGATTACCTACGTGATTGTGAATGGAAAACTTGTGACACGTTGTGATTTTAAATTATTATAGATGCAGCATCCATAATAGATTTTATTTTGTCCGAAGATGGAAACAACACCATTGTTGGCGAGACCTAAAAAATCATTATGGTCAAGGTAAAAATTTTTGTGGCAGTATAATCTTTGTTTTAACAGTACTGCTATAATTATCTTATAACTAATTTATATTAATTTTTTTAGATTAAAATTTTCAAGATTTCGTAAGAAGGATTTAAGTTCCAGAGTTATTTATGTAGGACAATTGCCTGATGAGGAATTTCCTCCTAATTATGTTTGCAATCAAGTAAGTATTGATCTATTTTGTAAAGAATACATATAGATACCTGATAGATGTTTGCATTTTTACAATATTCATTATTTATCAGTCATAACTCTGACTTAAATATTTACAATTACTCCTTACAAATACTGATGAATCAGTATAGCTTAATTATACATATATTTTCTACAATAAGGCATGACTCTCTAAAATACAATGAATTAAATATATGTGATTAAAAATGTTTATAAATTTTCTACCAAGAAATATAATATTCCTTTGGCCATACTGCTGCTGTGGATCTTTCCTCACAAACAAACAGAGCACCACATCTGTATATGGTCATACACACTGAAGTAAAAAGTTGGAAAAGTGTTGCATGTTGATGTAGACAATCTATACAAAGTCATAGGTATAAACTAAATATTAATATAAGGTAATTAAGGTAAAACTAAATTCACCAGCTGCTATTTAAATTTATTCTTATAACAATTTTAATACAATTATCATTTATCAATATAAAATTGTCATTACTCTAAGTAAACTTTAAAACTTAATTCCAGAAATACAACATCATCACATTCCTGCCACTGGTGCTGTTTGAACAGTTCAGATTCTTCTTGAACATGTACTTTTTAGTGATGGCATGTAGTCAATTCATACCCAGCATCCGCATTGGATATTTGTACACATATTGGGGGCCTTTATGTTTTGTACTTGCTGTCACACTCTTTAGAGAAGCTGTAGATGATATTAGAAGATATAGGTGAGAAAATATATTACTCTATATTACAAAAAATCTTTTCTCTTCATTAGTTTATAAATAAACTAATATAATATAAATAAACTAAATAGTTTATAAATATGTTTTTGTTTGGAATGGAAAAACTCAAAAAATACCTAATTGATTTTAAAAATTCTTCAAAACTTCACCTATAGAAAGCTACATTATTATTAAGAAACATCAGCTGTATTTTATTTAAATAAATTCACAAATATATAAAAAGTGCAGACTTAAAAGTACTTTTCTTTGTGTTGCAAATGTTTATTGACGATGGTAGCCATTTCTCATTAGATGGATAGTCTGTTTGTTTGCCTTCCTAATAATAATAAATAAAATCTCCTGTATATAATACACTAAACTATTCTATAGTGCCAAATTGAAATTATGAGCTATAAACAGAATCTAGTCCAAAATAAAGAACAGTTGGACTTATGCTCAAAGTAGACAAAATGGCAGGTTGTTAAAAATAACAGTGAATATTATTTTTACCCATTGTGTCAAAATTGCTACATAGCTTGCTGGTAGCGAGATCTATGAGAGATTTAGGGAAGCTAATACTCGTAAAACGGCTTGTTTAAAACTGTACAAACATTGTCAAATGAAAAAGTCAAGATTTCTTTTCCAATATGAAATTTACCAGAGGGAGACTGTACAAAAGTCATTTGCTTGGGCACCTTTGTCCCATTTGTGATTTTACTGTGAAGCAGTTATGTTTCCATAGCTGTGTTTCGGTTTAAAGGGTGGGATATGGCAATGAATTTACAGGATACAAAACGATAACACCTGGGTCCTCAGAATTGACAATGCATGGGGGTATCATGGGCGAAACTGTATACTCTATTATATCCATGATACTGCTTATGTCTATAGGTGACGGTTACCACTTTTCATCAGGTGGGCTGTCAGTTTGTTTGCCGGTCTAAGTTGCATAAAAAAATGTATGTTTAAGATTCATTTCACCACAGCACAACTCAAATTGACTTTGTGTGATAACCTCGAAATTCAGTTTTAGTATTAGGAATAATAAGGAAAGCTTATTTATAATGAACAGTTTTTAAAGTGTCAATTTAAATAACTATTTATAAATATTTCAATAAAACCATCAATATATCAGTCACTTTGAACATTACCTATTTTTAAATGCCAATAATCACTTAACAGAGTAGAATGATCACAATGAAGAAATGTAATGATTCACTCTGTTAAGTGATGATATAGTAAATTAAACTCTGTTAGCTTTATTTAAAAGGTTGCTTTTTATTTTGAATTTGTACTCTAACTACAATAGATATGATAATGTAGCAATTGTAGCTCCTATGAGATAAGATTTAATTCTTCTGTCCATACTAATATAACTGTAAACATGAAACAAACTGTTTGATTTATATTGCAAAATTAGGATGTTTTTTATACCACGAAGGTGGGAAACAACAAATAAACTGTTATTGTAACCTATGGGCGCCTGTAACATTAGGAGTTTAACATGTGCGTTACCAACCTTGAAGATACTTTAATAACCCTTTTTAAAGAACCCCATACTGTCTCTAGAGGCAACCTTGACAGGGAGCTCTTTCCTTAGCCTGAGCATTCACGGGAAACACTTCCTTTGAAAGGTTAAAAAAAAGATAGACACGTGACGTACGCTGAGTTACTATTCCATAAAAAAAATAGTATGGTGTAGTTTACTATTCTAATTTGCGTATGACATATTAGCTGATATCAAATAAATGATAATTAGAATTTTAAAGTTTAAAGTAATTCCCTTACATATAACACCATTAAGATATTAAATTGCTTTGAGAAACGGTTATTTATTCGCTCTATATAATATCATGTAATTTGAGCTTTTATATTTAGTAATACGTCAAACTTATTCTATACCGACTTACGCGAACGTAGAGTTACGCGATTTTCAAATCTCGTTGTATAGTTTTTTCATTTGAATGCCACCCAACTCTCTATTATTCAAATACATAATTATGTATGTATGTGTTTATATGTGAAACTATACCTTGATTTAAATGGTTATAGCTCAGTCCCGCTTATCTGCCATCACTAACCATCTAAAGTTGGGGTGTATAATATGTCATAAAACACGCACAAAAGAAAAATTGTACTTAGCTTTATGCATTTTTTTTAATAATTTATGTTATCTCGCTTTTTATGTATATCTATATATGTTATGATTTGTGTGCTGTAAGTAATGCAAATAAATTATCTATCTATCTATCATATTGGAGACGGAAAGGGATTGTTAGTAATGGCAACACTAGTCCCTATGGCTAGCAACATACTCCGTCAGGTCGACCTCCCCGCGGCCCCCTGGAAACTGTCGTGGTTAATTACTACTGAGTTCCTCATGATGAACCTATGAACCTGACTACATTCTCACTTTTTCATCCTCCACTGATGCCCCACCATTGTAAACCCATTAGCATAGGTGGATGCAGAATTTCAACTTTATTTACTAAAATAATATGTCATTTTAATACATCTCATTTTAATTCAGTTTCTTCCCGTAAATAGAAATCTATTAATTAAATCAAACAATCATATCAAACAGAAAAAAAACTTTTCAGGCGTGACAGAGAAGTGAACCGGCAACGCTACGACCGGATTGTACTAGACTCGGCCGTTGACGGGTACCGTCCTTTCGTTATGGAACACGTACCAGCCTCCGCCCTTAGGGTTGGAGATATTGTCATCCTGCACAAGGGACAGAGGGTGCCCGCAGACATGATATTATTGAGAACAAATGAAACTATGGGCACCGTGTTCATAAGAACGGACCAGTTGGATGGAGAGATTGATTGGAAGTTGAGGTAAATTATTATTAATTTTTATTGTGTTGTTTTATTAATTAATATTATAATAGTTTTATTCTCCATACTTTACAGGTTTTCAAATTTTACTATATTTAATAATTGGTAATTAATTACTAAAAAGTATATAGTAATTAATTACTATTATTTTTTACTGTCTTAAAAGAAAGATTTCGGTTGTATTTTTATTTTAATATTTGTCGCCTCATAGTTGTTAACCGATTTGGAAAATTCTTTATCTGAAATCAGGTTTTAGCCGTCCACTGCTGAACATAGTTCTCCCATACGGGGGGAGGGGAAGGGGTCTCCAGTTCATGTCATGCTTGGAAGGCGGGTTATGGATGATAATGGAATGGTAACCCCACTTGCGCTAACGGTGTTCGTTAGCGGGGTACAAGTGAGGAGTGGTAGGTGAGGATGAAAAGCCAGCTCAGTTAGCCAATCGCCCAACTGGGCACGATAGTTTCTAGGGGAACTGCAAGGAGGTCGACCTGACAGGGGGTGATGATAAATGAAGAACGCTGTTGCCCATTCCTCGCCCATTAAGTTCTCTTAGTCGGCTCTTACAACACCCATGGGATAAGAAGGGGTGATCCATTCTATGCAGGGACCACATGGCTCAGTTATTATTTACTTACGTATATTATATTTAACTAAAAATGGTAGAATTCAACATGTATATATATTACCTGTAACTAGTTACTTTTATTACAAAGGAAATAGGTATATATAATACATACGTCAATTACAATAATTACGTTTCATTTAGTACTAAAATGACAAATCAACAAATATTTGGTATTGAACAGTTTTGTTTAGTATTGAATTATAAATGTTACGGTTGATCGAACAGTGTATAAGTAAGTACGTAGGTACGTTGATTACACGATAATGAATATAATTCAGGTCTACATTAATTATATAAGTTTCTATTTAGACAACCAATTATGCATATTAATATAATTATTATAAATACAAAACTGAGTTTCTGACAATTAGTACTTCTGGATTAGATTAATTTCTACGGAAATTTGCATAGAAATAGTTCAAGGTTTTGAATTCGAAATATATGCTACGTATTTATTTATTTCATCATCTTATCACCCTTTAACTGCTCACTGCTAAATATAAGCCTTTCCCTTGGTGGGTTTTGCCAGTAGTTGTTACGCTTGACAAGCGGATTGGCAACCGCAGTTAGGCTTTAGAGATGTTTTAAGAGGGACGCTGCTATCCGTCCTTCACTCTCCCTTAATCGCCTTTTACGATATCCACAGGAAAGGGAGGGGTAGCCTATTCCATGCCGGGACCACACCGCCGCGCAATGTATAAATAATTTATTTATTCATTAGTACATGTATATACGTATTTGTCTATTTTACGCTATTAAAGATGGCGATACCACCTATAATACCCAGATAAATATAGTTCGCAATATAATTTGTTTTAATAGAACTTAATGATTAAGATGTTCCACAAAAAAATCTTCAATGATACCAAAATCAGTTATTTTGATTTAAAAACTACTGAACTCGTTTTGATAAAATTGCTATTGGACCGATCTGAAAGTATATTCTTTCAGATAAAGAATTTTCCGAATCGATTTAGAACTGACAGAGTTATTGGCTAACAAACATAAAAGAAACATACGGCCGAATTTAAAAACCTTCTTTTTGAAGTCGGTTGAAAGTATAGACAAACTAATGATTGATCTAACCATGAGACATCAATTGTAGTAGAAATCTATAATCGAAAATATTTCAATTTCGCTCTAATTCAACGAAGAATGTGTCTGATAATTTTAACTTTTCAGTAAGTTTTATTGAATAAAATTGGCTACGGTAACCGCTTACCATCAAGTGAGACGTATGCTTGTCTTCCATCTCAGTGGTATAAAAAAATCTTTCTCCCGCTCTCGAGGGTTGGCCTATTAAACTCTCGCCAATCTGGGAGAAACAAGTTTGTCTAGAATATAGACAAATGTAATATAATAGAACAGGGGGGAAAGGGATTGTTAGAAATGGAGACTGAGAATCCCATAGCTAGCAATATACCCAACCAGGTCGACCTCCTCGTGGTTCCCCCTGGAAACTATCATGATTAATTCTTGATGAATTCATCATGATAGGCTAACTGGCCTGTTTTCATTCTCATCTATCACCCTTCACTGGTGCTCCGCCAGCGTATCCCGTTACCGCAGGCGGGGCTACCATACCATTTTCACACATAAAAAAAAAAAAAAAACAAGTCATTTCATCTCTGATCCAAAGAGTAGGGCTTCCCGACAACTCAAAATATATGTACATTTTTATAGCATCACCATAATGCTTATTCGCAGAATTCCACTGCCCTCAACACAAAAACTTCCAACCGACGCGCATTTGCTCGATATAAACGCCCAGATCTTCATAGAAAAGCCAGAGAAAGACATACATTCGTTTATTGGCACTTGCACGCGACTAGACGAAGAGGAAAACGACTCGCTTGACATAGAAAATACGCTATGGAGCGGTTGCGTGGTTGCGTCTGGGCAGGCGACCGGATTGGTCATATATACAGGTAAGTCAACTGTACTACGATTATTCGTTTAACAATGGCGCCCTCTGATGTCTGTTTTTTTTTATGTAGCTACAGCTCAACATACACTCATGCTTACCAAATGAGAGGCTAAAGGATTTAATTTAAAGATTCTTTTTAACATTTTCGACTTTGTTTATTGTTCGTTAAACATTTCAAGGTTACATTGATTTTATGATACTAAGAAGTGTTAATTACCCAATTAGTGAGCAAATACCAGAAATAATCTAGTCTATGGAACATTAGATGCATATTTTTAACTTTTTAAAATATATAGTCTATTTTTTATCCCAAATTTGGGATACTTTAATGTATACATGGACGCGCCCGTTTTCCCGCGCTTTTTCTAACTACACACGTACACATTGTGTCGTTTTTGTATGAAGTATTCGAGATGTGATAAGTAAAGAATGCACGGTTGGTTTCATATGCCTTTGTCAAATTCATTTGTTTTAATTTAAAAATTGTTCTCCACTGTAGGTAGCGAGACGCGGAGCGTTATGAACAATGCCACACCGCGCTCCAAGATCGGCCGGCTGGACTTACAAGTGAACAACCTGACGAAGGTGCTATTTGTGGCTACCATATTCACCTCCTTCCTGCTGATAGTGCTGAAGGGCTTCAACGGACCCTGGTACGGGTTCCTCTTCAGATTTATACTGCTCTTCTCTTATATTATACCGATCAGGTGGGTGTATTTTTTAACAACTTATTATTATGTGTACATATAAACTTTCTTTGAAATTGTAGTCCAAAAACCGACTTCAATTGTAGTAAAAGGAGTTATTTTAATTAAAAAAAATCTGAACCGATTTTGATTTGAAACTTCTATGGGACCAACCTATAAGTATATCTTTCAGATAAAAAAAAAGAATTTTCCAAATTGGTTTACAACTGAAGGAGTTATGAGGTAAGAAATATTAAAAAAATACAACCACATTGTGAGTTTCGTTTTTTTTGAAGTCGATTGAAAATATCTACATAATGGGGAAACTTATCAAAATGTGTGCCACATTTTTGAAAAAGCGGGGGCAATAGGCACGCGGTCTGCAACTTTATTTTATACTACATATTTAAGAATGAGAAGATTATCAATTTGACTGTATTTTTTGTGGCTTTCATATGAGGATATGTTGCTTATTTTCAATCGATTTTGTTAATTTCACAATCGATACTTTCAAACGTCTTGGTTTCTCAACAATTTTGCCATGTTTAAATAGCTGTTATGTATGTAATATTTATATTTATAATAAGTTAACTATTGTAATCTTTTGGAGGAAACAATAAAGAGTATCTATCAATCTATAATATATATAGTATGTAAATAGTAGTATCACGTAATGCTTATAATATAATAATATGGTATACTTTAACTATTAAATGACTAAAGGAACTTAATAGTCGAGTGATGAGTAGCAGCGTCTCTCTTAAAACATCAAAAGCCAAACTGCAGTTGTCAATCCGACTGCCAAGCATGGTAATTACTAGCAAAATCCCTCCAATGGTAAACTACCATAAAAAATAGTCCGGTTCCTTATGGTAGTCTACGGACGAGGCCTATGTCCAGCAGTGGACAGTTAACAGCTGATGTGATGATAGTGTACACGTTTATTAAGTTATTAATATTTGACTAAATTTAAATAATATTTTTTAACAGTCTAAGAGTGAACCTGGAAATGGGTAAAGCATTTTACTCATGGACGATCCAAAGGGATAAAAAAATCGAAGGCACCGTGATGAGGTCGACGACCATACCGGAGGAGCTGGGTCGGATCCAATACTTACTCGCTGACAAGACGGGCACGTTGACAAAAAACGAAATGGTCTTCCAGAAATTGCATTTAGGGAATGCTTTGTTTGACAGAAATCATTTCCATGAGGTAAGTATATATATATATATATATATATATATATATATATATATATATATATATATATATATATATATATATATATATATATATATATATATATATATATATATATATATATTTAGAGTGATAATATTTAAATTGTCTTAGCTATGTCACACAAACTTTGACATTTATATACATAGAGAGATATATAGAGAGTTTAAAATTTTTAGTGTATCTGTATTAATAATATTAAGGGCAAAAATTTGTATGAACGTGCTAATTTTTAAAACTAACACAACAAAAATTCTTATACCAGAGGGAGACTTGGTACAAAAGTCATTTGCTTAGACACTTCTGAACCATTCTTGTCTCAACCGTGAAGCAGTTGTGTTTGCACAGCTGTGTTTCGATTTGAAGGGTAGTATATGGCAATGAATTTACAGGGTACAGAGGAATGACACCTGAGTCCTCAGGAATGGTAACGCATGGGGGTATCATGGGCGAAACAGTATACTCTGTTATGTCCATGGTACTACTCATGTCTATAGGCGACAGTTATCACTTTCCATCAGGTGGGCTGTAGCTTGTTTACTGTTCTAAGTTGCGTAAAAAAAAAATCATTTTGCATTTGATAGCTCATTTCTTGAGGATTTGATTCTATGATATTCAACATCACTATACGATCACGAGCGAAGACGCAGAATACCACTAGTGCTTAATATATGTAGTATGGAGTGTCTCCATTGCCAACTATATATATACTTCTTTGTGTACATTTAATGCAATAAATATTTTTTTATTATTAAAAATTCAAATACTTTTTTTTTAAAAACCTAACGACTCACCTACTGGAATAGCGGTAACTGTCGCCTTTAGACATGAATCCCTGTTCCAAAATTGGCAATCACTATCATATATTTTTTATATTTCCTCCATTTAATAATGCACTGCCTACTTATTTCTCGGTTTGACTGCTAGAGAACATCGTCCGGTGTTAAGTCCGCCATATGTACAGAGTTTCACTGTGCATTAAATAAATAAATATATTCACATGAGTTTTCCTCACAGGTAGAGTCGCTACTGACGCAGTACGTAACCAAAGACTCATCATTTCTACCGATGTCACCATCGTCACCGCAAGGGTCAGAGTTCCCGGACGGGCCAACGTCCCCAGAAGGGCCATCATTCCCGGACGGGTCACAGACCCCGAGCGGGCCAGCGTCCCCGCGGCAGGTGTGGCAGGCCGTACTCGCCATAGCGCTCTGTCACAATGTTACACCCGTCTACGACATCGGGGACCAACAGGCCGATGAGGCCACTTCTGGTATGTCTTCTAGATCAATGTTTTTCAAAGTGTGGTTTACGGCTTCTTGGGGGCGAGGGTCGCCATGTTTCTACAAGGGGGGTCGCGCAAGGTCGTGAGGTCGTAAAAAACGTAAAGAATATATTTATGTTATGAAAAAATTTATTAAAGATATTTATTGTAGGTAAGTGAACACAATTTAAAAAAAATTCAAAAAATAACCATAAGTCACCTTAATGTGAAGTGTACACCTGTTTTTTTTTTGTTCACCAATTTCTTCCATCACAGATAATTTTTGCTACATTAATATAATTAAATCGTAAATTTAGGCCATTTCTCTGTTTATTTATTTATTTTATTGTATTCAACCGAATGAAAATAAATAAAAATGTATGTATTTTATTATATTTATATATAATAAAATACATACAGGTTAGAAACAGCGAATGGTAGGGGGTCGCAAAATATTTTTACAAATTTTGGGAGTCGCTACATGAAAATTTTTTAAAAACACTGTAGTACTGTTGTAGACAGTAGAAAGCTTTTCCAAATTAGAAAGGCAAACAAGTCGACGGCTCACCTGATGGAAAGTGGTAACTGTCATCTACAGACATGAACAGTATCATAGATATAACAGATTATACTGTGACACCCATGATACCCCCATGCGTACCAAGTTAAAGTTATAGAGTTATAAGTCCAATGATCAGCAGTGAACTGTTAACGGCTGATATAATGATAATTAATGAACTAAAGACAACTTAGTGTTGCCATTATGTCGACTATGTTATTTATATGTGTGGTAGGTATATACTCGTATGTATTGTATTAAGGGTGTGTGTGTGATCCCACAGACATGGGCAGCTCGGTTATGTCGGAGAGCTGCGGCGGCGCGGTGCCGCAGCAGCAGCTTTGTGACTACCAAGCCGCCAGCCCCGATGAGGTCGCGCTTGTCAAGTGGACTGACATGGTAACTGAATAAACATATTATTATTACAAAGCTATGTATAATTGTAAGGATGTGTCAAAGATATTGTTTATAATTATTTAATCTGATATGAACTTACTAACTTATCAATATTTACTACAGATGGGCATCTCGCTGTACAGACGGGATCTACATAACATATCATTGAAATTGAGGGCTGCAAACGAAATTATGCAATTCACGATTCTGCAAATATTTCCCTTCACTAGTGAGAGCAAGATGATGGGCATAATTGTACAGGTATGTCTAAAACTATTTTAATTGAGCAAAAAAAGTAGTATGAGCCAACTAAGGCGATTTCATCGTCACGTACCTGAATTACTTACTGATGTCGATTGTCAATTCAGTATATCGATAGCGCAGGTGGAGTTACTATTGCTTTATCATTCGTTAAAAAATAATCTGTGTCACCCCCTGTTGTAAAAACTCTATAGTCATTTTTATTAATGTTATATAATCAAAATATAAAATACAAAAATATAACAATATAATAATTTATCTGGCAGTTTTCTATTCTCCTCTAAACTTCACAAAATACAAATATTTTATTATTTATCGAACTGAGCTTATTATTTTCAACCCCCCCCCCCCTCCGTTAATGGCTGTCACTGACGACCTCTTCCCCCGCCGTTGGTTGCCAGGAGGAGAACACGGAACAGATAACGTACTACGTGAAGGGCGCGGACGTGGCGCTGGCGCCGCTGGTGCGCGGCGGCCGCTGGCTGCCTCGCGAGTGCGGCCGCCTCGCCGCCGACGGACTGCGCACGCTCGTGTTAGCCTACAAGACACTCACCAAGAACGAATATTTAGAGTTCGAGGTACACCCTCCCACTGATTATATTCTATTTTCATATCCGAGTGTGGCAACATCACAAGTGACAAGTATCTGTCAGTTTTGAAACATTCATTATTCAATCATAAGTCAGTCATTCAGTCAATCACAACGGCTATAAAAAAAAGTTAGTTACAGCTTAATATGAATTTCTGTTTTTATTAAATAATCGCTCAGATGTGTTAAAAATTGTTCAATTATTTTTGAAAAGTGACAGTGAATAGATTAGAATAGAAATTCTCTTATTTGACAAAAATACAAAGTTACAAACACAAGATACAATGGATCCCACACTATCGTGGACAAACATTGCCAATTCACAATCTGTTATAATAAAGTGTGCATAGTGGACGGGTATAATATATGAACTCCGGTGTTGCCACATTTTAGTATAAAGAAAGTTGTTAGTAAATAATTAATTGTACTTAATCGTGAACTATTTCAGAGTGAATACAAGGAGGCGCGTTTGAGCGTGACGAACCGCAGCGAGCGTACGGCGGCGGCGATAGCGCGGCTGCAGCGCGGGCTGCTGCTGCTCGGGCTCACGGGCGTCGAGGACCGGCTGGCTGATGATGTAACACCCACGCTTGCCATGCTGCGCACTGCTGGCATCAAGGTACATAGATAAACTATTTATAACAAGCTTTTGCCGGCGACTTCGCCCGCATGATCGTGATAAAAAGTAGCTTATCTCTTTCTCTGTCCCATATAGTATGTGTATATCAATTATCATAATGATTGGTTAAGGCACCAAAAGGTAAAAAACAAACTCACTTATAATATGTATTAGTAAGAATTCGAAAATTAGCCTCATCTCGTCGCAGTACAAGTAAAGACATCGATACAGTTCGGGATGGGGGTACTGGTGACAGCAATAAACAATAATGTTGTTGCTGAAGATGAATTTGTGTCTAGTATCGTGACAGTTGGCTCAGGACTCCTCGATTTCGCTATTGCTATTATCTGAGCAATCCAGTATAGCCTGGCATGCAAAACTCACGGTATTTTCTCTCAAGTCTTATAGATTTTTTGTATGCGACATCAGAGCCATATTCTAATAATCCACGTATTTTTCAAAATTTTTTGTTATTCAACAACTGGATCCAGTATAAAAGATCTTTGTATACAGTCACACAATATTGATATGAAGTATTCTGTGATGTGTTATTAGATATGGATGTTGACCGGTGATAAGCTGGAGACAGCGGAGTGCATAGCGCGGTCGCTGCAGCTGGGCGGTGGTGACGGCGTATGGGTGCCGGCCGCCCGCTGTGCTGCCCGCCGCGATGCACTACGTTTGCTGCAGATGTTAAGCGCGCGAGACCCAGACCAAACTAATCTTATCATCGAGGGAGAGACGCTCGAAGTAAGTGGTTTATGAGAGTCGGATGTAAAATGTGCGTCATTACTACTGTTGCACACCATCGAAAGCATAGCTTAGGAATTATTTGTGAACGAAATGATCACCTCATATACAAAAAGCGACAGTAATTTCTCATTATACCATAGAGGCTGTCAATGTTTCTGTTAAGTTTCATTGCTCTTCGATTTTTTGTTACTTTCTTTTTTATTAAATACATAATCATCCACTATTTTGTAGATTGTATGATCCATTGTATGCTGATAATATGGCGTGGTCGTCAGGTGTGCCTGCGTTCGTACGAGAAGGAGTTCGTGGAGGTGCTGGAACGCTGCAGCGGGGTGGTGGTGGCGCGCTGCTCGCCCACGCAGAAGGCGGCCGTCGCGCGGCTGCTGCGCGCGCGCAACCACGTGGTCGCCGCCGTCGGGGACGGCGGCAACGACGTCGCCATGATACAGGAGGCCGACATGGGTGCGTCGACACAAATAATTGACAAAACATTTATTTATTAATTACAAATATTTTATGACAAATAAAATGATGTCCTTCAATATTGATCAGAAGCTACGATTCGAGCTAGCATTAATTTTTAGTTACTTTTCTTACGCGTAATATTCACGACTTTAAGTGCCTATGGTTGTTTCAGGCGTGGGCATAGAGGGCGCGGAAGGTCGCGCGGCGTCCCTGGCGGGTGACGTGAGCGTGCGGCAGTTCCAGTGCCTGGCGCGGCTGCTGCTGGTGCACGGCCGCCGCGCCGCCACGCGTTCCGCCGCGCTCTGCCTGTTCATCGTGCACCGCGGCCTCATCGTCTCCACCATGCAGGTACACGTCTCCTGCCACCGGCAGCCGCAGCACCAGCTCCTGAAGCGTTTTCTGCTTACATTATGTACTATCTGTATGTACTAGTGCAGATGATATAATATAAAATATGTCATCTCTTATTTCCATATTCGTGATTTCATAAAAGAAGGAGGAAGTAGATTAATCAGAAGGATATCTTGAAATAATATAAGTAATTTTAGTTGGTAATTTTGTTAATTTTTGTTAGATAGATAGATAGATACTCTTTATTGTTTCCTCCAAAAGATTACAATAGTAAACTTATTATAAATATAAATAATTACAAGAAATAATCACAATGAGAAAACAATGGGCGACCTTATCGCTAAGAGCGATCTCTTCCAGGCAACCTTTGGATGGAGAGGAGTAATAATGAATTATTGTTAGTAGTGTAATTAAAGTTTAAAATCATTGTAACCAATATTAGTAATCCTAAGTAAATAGCACTATACTAAGATACCTGTCCAGTATGATGATAGTAAGCTCATATTCATTACCAGAGGGAGACTTTGTACAAAAGTCGATTGCTTGGGTACCTCTCTCCCATTCATGTTTCAACCGTAAATCAGTTGTGTTTGCATGGCTGTGTTTCGGTTTGAAGGGTGGGATATGGCGTGAATTTACTGGGTACGAAGGAATAACACCTGAGTCCTCAGGAATGGCAACGCATGGGGGGTATCATGGGCGAAACAGTATACTCTGTTATGTCCATGGTACTGCTCGTGTCTATAGGCGACGGTTACTACTTTCCATCAGGCGGGCCGTCAGGTTGTTTGCCATTCTAAGTTGTATAAAAAAATCTCCTCTTCTAAGGAAGAAACCCATACTCATTAATAGGATATTATTATGATGATTTACAATTGAATTTGAAATCGTTTTTCATAAGCAACTTCTGTAATTATGTTACCATTTACAGGCAGTATTCTCTGTGGTCTTCTATTTCTCATCAGTTTCACTGTACCCTGGATTTTTGATGGTTGGATATGGTACGATCTACACTATGCTGCCTGTATTCTCTTTGGTAAGTTTATCTATTGTTATTATATTATTTGTATATATCTGCCTTATATAATACTAGTTTTAAACTATGAAACGACTTAGACTCTATGACTACAATATATTGGATGATCGACATAAAAAATAGCCTATATCACCTGTATATCTCCGAGTTCAAGTTTGGCGGAATGTACGCGGCACTAATTGTGCAACAATAAGTAGGTGGTCAACAAGCGGCGATTGCGCTTGGGATGTACTAGCGGGTAATATACGTCGAGTCGCACTCAACTCCCGACGAATCGCCACCAGGACACCCCCACCGTCGCGACAACCGCTACCCTCATGATTTCTATCACGCCGAAACACACGATATCTGCCATCTATAAACTCATTATCGGATATACCCTCTAAATATATATATATATATATCCAATCCAATAGTATGTGTACACCAAATTTCATAGCGATTGGTTGAGCCGCTAAGGCAAGATGTAACAAACACAATTTCGCATTTATAACACATATAAGTAAGGTTTAATTTACAGCATTCTGTTTCCATATTGCGCACTTTCTGATTCTGTATCTTCCCTTACAAGGATGCTAATTTTTGCCACAATTAAAGTTGTTTTTCATTTGTGAAACACAATCTTAATATTGAGCAATTTGGGCACCTTTACTGTTCCATTTGTCACAACGATAACAGTTGACAAATGTATTTAACTATCTCATTAGGAATTACAGACGTGAGCTTCAACCGACTTAAAAAAAAAGAAGTTCTCAATTCAGTTGTATTTTTGTATGTCTGTTACCTTTTTTTTATACCACGGTAAGTGGTTACCGTAGCCTATGAATACCTGCAATACCAGAGTTATTACGCGCGCGTTGCCGACCCTGAAGAAACCTCTTTACCCCCCCTTGTGAAGAACCCCATGCAGTAGGCTCTTGGGAAAACCTCGGCAGGGAGCTTATTTCATAACCTGAGTGTTCGTGGGTGGAAACATTTCTGAAACCGCGCTGTACGCGACCATTGAGGCTGTGGGACATGAGGATGAACTCCCTGTCGATGACGGGCCTCTTAACTCCATTATTTATAAACCAATTTGGAAAATTCTTTTTTATCTGAAAGTATATACTTTAAGGTAAAAAATATAGTTTAGTTTTTAAATTAAAATAACCAATTTTGTCACAAAAGAAGACGGTTTTTTTTTTATGGAATAAAAACCTAACTATTTTCTATTGTCGACAGGTACTCGATAAAGATATATCAAGTTTAACAGCGCTGAGGTACCCGCAGTTGTACAAACAACTCACCAAAGGAAGGCAACTCTCGTACAAGACGTTTTATATTTGGACCGGCATATCTATATATCAAGGTAAATTGTACAGTATAAATCTATTCTATCTATATTTATCATATTTTAGTGCAAACTATATATTTTAATCAATCGATAAGCAAATTAGTATTATTTGCATAAACTTAGGTACAATTTTAAAATTGTACCTAAATCTTAAGGTTTACAAAAAAAAATTGTTCAAATAGTAGTTACTGCAAAAAAAGTAGTCAACTCTTTTACAGTAAAAAATGTAGGATATCTAAAATACATTTCGACGTTTATTGGTGTTTTTAAGATTGATTTTTTTTATTAAACTAGCTGCCACCACAGCTTTGCACGGTTATATAGAATTTTCAAAAATAATGTATATCCTGTGTTACTCACTGATAATGTAGTTTTGTATAAATGAAAGAATTATTAAAATCGGTTAACTAATTCTTGAGACTATTATAAACAAACAAACAATCAAATCTTTCCACTTTCTAATATTAGATTATTTTGAATGTCCTTACAGGCGGCGTAATAATGTACGGTGCTCTAGTACTGTTCGAGGACCAGCTGATACACATAGTGGAGATCAGCTACACGGCTCTCATACTGACGGAGCTGATCATGGTGGCGCTCACCATCGTCACGTGGCACCGGCTCATGGCCGCCGCCGAGCTGCTCAGCCTGCTCATGTACACCGCCACGCTGCTCATATTCACATCTTATTTCGGTGAGTGATCATTAATTTTAAGTCCATTCACGATATCCCCAGTTTATTTTAATAATACAATATGTGACCACATGGCCCAGAGGTAACACGAGAATAGTATGGTCATTAACTGTGATCAATAGAAAAAATCGGGGCGGTAAAGGATTGTTAGTAATGGACACTGAGAATCCCATTGCTAGCAATATACCCAACCAGATCGACCTCCTCGCGGTTTTCCCTGGAAACTATCATGGTTAATTCCTGATGAATTCATCATGATGGGCTAACTGGCCTGTTTTCATTCTCATCTATCACCCTTCACTGGTGCTCCGCCAGCGTATCCCGTTAGCGCAGGCGGGTTTACCATACCATTTTTACCCATCCAAAAAAAATAGAAAAAAACGCCGCTCGTCGTGTGTACTCCGGCATAGAATGGGCTACCCCTTCCTTTCCCGTGGGTTTCGTAAGAGGCGACTAAGGGAGGGCCAGGCATAGGCAGTAACATCCCTGTTAAAATATTTTTAAAGGCCTAACTGCGGTTGCCAACCCGCCTGCTAAACGTGGTAACTACCGGTAACATCCCATTTTATGTAGGAAGATCTATCGTTTAGCAGTGAACAGTTAATGGGCAATATAATAACAAAATATACTTATATGTTATTATTCTACCACAGATGCTGACTTCATAAGACACTGGGACTTCTGGTGGAAGGTAACCGTCATTACATTGGTCTCGTGTCTACCTCTATATATAGTTAAATACATGCATAGAAAATGGAGCGCCAGGCAGTACAAAAACATAAGACATTGATCCTTAACATCAACTACATTAGATTAATTTTCAAATGTGATTCAAATTTCGTGACTCGATGCACATGCCTTCATAGCACTATGAAAATATTAATATTTGTGTATTGTTTTTTGTAAGTTATTGTTATATCGTCATAGTCGTAGAATACTGACGGATCTGACGAATATTACATATGTATATAGATCCGTCAATATTCTACGACTGTGACGATATTTGTGAATAAGATATGTATATGCGACTTGAAAAATGGTGACTTGAAAATGAAATAGTAGATCCTTCAGGCTTTTTCTTGACTGTCGATCTTTCTAGATTCTTTTCTGTCTAAATCAACTGGAGAAATTATTTTACTGGGCTATTGTATTATCGCTTTTGTAGGATCCTATAAAGTCATAAATATAGGGCTAAAACGATAAGTGATCTCAATCGATTATTCCGTAACTATACAAATTATTGTATAAATATTATATAATTATACAAACGAACAAACAAATTACTAAAAAAAAAATAAAAATGAATCCTGATATAATCTACAAACTTCTATGTTTGCCCTATGATTGACTGGTTGAAGACAGCATTAGGTATCATGTTAGACATATACCTTTACTATATACATGAAAATCAAATGAATAATACGGTCCTATATATGATAATATAATTATCTCTAATAGTGTCCATCTTGCTAGACAAGCCCATCGGTTACTTACTAATTACTCGAAAACAATCGGGACCAACGGATTGTAAAGGTGCGATTGAAATAGAATTGAAATAACAACATTCTCAGCATATTCGTAAAATTAATGTTACGAGCATAATATTTAGTAGAAAATTAATATAATCTTGTTCTTTACAATATATTAAAGGAAGATTTTATTTGAAAAAAAATTAGAAATCTGGAATTCTTGTGTGTATAAAATCTGAAGTCTAAAATTGTTAATACAAATACAATTATGTACATTTATACTGCACTCATTTTTGGTTCCAATTTCAGCAATAAATATATTTAATAATTTGTTTATCATAACATATTAGTATTACAATAATAATAGTAATTTATTTTGTTTATACAAATTATGAATAAAATGTACCTTTAGAACTTGTGAACTATATTTAAATCAAATGAACTCGATTTCTTGTGATAAGGCCGGGTAATTATGTTGCTTTATTTTAAAGGGCTCTACTAAAAATACTGGCAATACAAGGATAACAAAATTAGTGATTCTTATCGTATATATTCTGAAAAAAAAAAAGAAATCATTCTTGTCTATTATAATATTAGTTACTTATTTTTATAATACATTCTACACATCATTTTCAACTGATTTAAAAAAGTTATAGTATACTGTATAATTATTTTAAATTTTTTTAGAAGAGCCCATTAATACTATACCATTTCTTGTGATATTCTTCTTTTGTATATTTTGAAAGCTTATTTATAAAAAAAAGTGTTATTTTTTAAAACTTCTAGTACAGGATAATATATATTTTTATTAAATCAAGTAATTCTAATATTACCTAATATTGTCTGAGAAAATACAGGCGCTATATATAGTCCTATCATCAATGTGTCTCACTATAGAGCTCAGTGGTAAAAAAATCCAATATTCAAAATTTTTTGTCACAAAAATCGTCAAGATATCGATCGATATACCGATAAATACTTTCAGTAGAGAGTCATAGATTTGTTAATTGAACAACTTGGCTATTTAGTGTGTTTTCTTGGCAAATATCGGTGCCAAATACCAATAGAAACCGCCATTAATGTATATTGGGTTTCGGTAGTATCAAATAACACCAGTTATTCTTTAATAGTAATATATGATAGTAGACCTCTGACAAGTTTATTTTCGGCTAGTTTCATTTTTAAGCCAATATACTGTGTGATCTCTTTTTGATAAATTTTATGAAGTCTATGTTGCATAATACATGCACGTGTTTGTATTTTTTCTCTCTAATTAGTTATAACGAATTGACCCCACACTGACCTAGTTTATTTAATTTTTTTTTTGCCAGTCAATATCAGGTGTCTTATGTGCTTTCGATTTGTCGATAGAGTAAGATAAGTCTTTTCTTATTTCCGAAATTTGTTCTGGCATGTTTGCTTATTATTCTATTATTTTTTTTTTTTTATTGCACTGAATTACATGTTGTTATGCAGAAATTATTCTTGTGAAATCCCACCTGTGTTGTTAGATTCTCTGAAATCTGTTCACTGGGGGGAATTGAATTTCACATGTTCTATACTCAACAACAAGTTCTATTGTACAAGTCCTATTAACGGAATGACATTATAAATCTTATTCAGAATCCCTAACCATTTTGGGAGTTTCTCTTTTACGTGTATTTTCAACAGTATAGGTAATCTCACAAAGGCGTTGACACAAAGCCTAAATAAGTTGTACTCAAGAGTTTTTACCTTCTTTAGGTATATCAGCCCCATCGGTACGATGAAGTACCTAAAGATTGTACGGTGTATTGATTTCTCAATTAAGACTTTTATATAATAACGCACATAGCTACGTGATACAATTTTTTAAATTAAATCTGTAAACTGGCGCCGATTCTGAAGTGTCATTTCTCTAAACTTAAATCTTAACTCAAATTTTAATTTACCAATTTCGCGATATTACTGTTTTATGAACAAGTATAAACTAAATTTGTAATAATTTTTACTTAAATCTACTAGAAAATTAGACTAATTAGTCTAATTTTATCTTATTTTAATGAAAATAGAATGAAAGAATGAAAGTTTTGCTGTGTTACCAAATTTTAATTTTAAAGATAAGTTTTGAGAAACGGTGCTTCAGAATCGACCCCACTGTTCATGACTGTTTGTATAATGTCATTAATAATATAACGATGACAGTTGGCACCAAATTATAATGACAGTTGAAATTATCTATATTACCGAAAAACGTTATCATGTACTCTCTTGTTTTCTCTATTATTCTCTTTCCTGTGTCAATTTTATGTCTTTTAGCTCATCCTATCCCTTTGGTCTATAACATCTTAGCTTCTTTATTTTTTATAATAACATCAAACTATAACTATCACTAAAACTAAAATTCTTACCTTTCCTTTTTAACATCCCGTCTCGTTTCCTGTTCGTTAGTGGCATAATGAACAACACTAGCCTTTTGGCAATATTAAAAAAAATATATATATAAAAATTAAACGGAAAGTTTTTTAACCCTGACATTTGCAGAAAATCACCGTTATCTCTATGGTGGAAGCCATATAAAAAAAAAAAGAAATTATAACAGAATTTTTTATAATTATTCTCTTATTTGTCCTAATCTGTACCTAGTATTATTAATGCCCCCCCCCCCCCTCCCTCTAAAACGATGTAAAACATGTGAAATTATAAAACAAAACTAACGTGACAATAATTTGTTATTATATTTATATATTTTAATAAACAAGAAAAAAAAAAACACGACTTTATGAGCGTTACCAATTATGTTGTGTGTTACCAATCTAGTAATTTTCAAAACCAAATTTTAATGTTTCTGATTTTAATAAAATTACATCGTTAATTATACAATAAGATGATTATTGAACAACCATTGGAGATTTGTATTTTGATGGTATAAATATTTGGAAATTTCAAAAACAACATAATGATATAGATACATAATTTTTGGTAGCATACAGTTCTGTGATTAACGTTTTAGTTTGCTTAATTATAGTATTTTTTAAATAATCAGTTGCAAATAGAAAAAAATAAATTATTGGAAAATTACAAAAAATAATATCAGCATTGTAAAGCTTCTGAATAAACATTTTAGGTCCCAGTTTTTATTTCTTATGCATAAATATACTATTCCCTCCAATAAGCACAATTTTTCGTATTGTAAAGCAATTATCTTTATATTCACGTTAAATTCGTAAAACGATAACGTGTTGTAGATGGTTATTTTGTTTGTATTGCTTATTTAGATTATTAAAAAGATTATTTTAGGATAAATTATGATTTATTGCAAATGCAATCAATAAAATATTACTGTGATTTGACGAAATGCTGTATGGTTATCTAGTAAATGTTCCACGAAGGAGTTCCCAACGTTTAATACTAATTGAGATTAGCAATGAGGTTTTATAACAATAATTTCTTAATATATTTGTTAAAAGTAATGGCGGCGCCCAGTGAAAGTTAAAAACAGATTGTATAATTTGGCAGCCCTATTTATATTTTATTGGTTAAGTTGGTGATAAAAACATTTGTATATATTTAAATAGTTATATCAAAACACACTTTGCGAAACAATTAATAATAATAACATTCAACTGACTTCAAAAAAGGGAGTTTCATAATTCGGACGCGTCTCTTCCGTTGCTGTCTTGTTGCGTACTAGGTTACGCGCGTTCACGTCACACTCGGTGCGCGGTTCACGGTGACTGCGTACGTTCGTGTTCCTTGTAACCGCGGAAGGTTCGCTACGGAATATCTTATATTGCGATGTTAGTCTTAACGTTTGTTAGGAACCTGTTTTTTTTTTTGCTTTGATAATTACCAACTTCATTCCAAAATATTTATTTCAAACTGTTCTAAAGTCAACAACATTTTTTGTATTACGAGATTTGTTTCGTGGGACTCACTAGCTATTATTTATAAGTGGATATAAATGTGTATTCCATAGAATAGTAAGGCGACAAAGTTACTTTTTGTATTTAGATGTTTTATGTTAAACAAGGTACAAAATATGTTACATGTGATATGAATATTTATTTCAAAGTATACCCCATATTTTATTTAAAGATCGAAATCTTTAAACCAGGTGCCGTTGATGTGTACTAAATAATTACGTAATTATATTGTTTGACTGTTTATACATATGATGTAAATATATAACTATTTAAATTATTAAAATTGTTTTATTTCAAATTTGCCTCAGTTCATCCTCTCATCATGTAATCCACTGGGTCCACAATGAATATACTGCAATCAGGAGTCATTTTTACTCTTTTTGATTACACTTTTTTGATGAATGATAATGGAATGGTAACCGCGCCTGCGTTATCAGTATAGGCTGGCGGGGCACCAGATAGGTGACGATGAAAGTAGGTTAATTAGCCCATCGTGATGAATTCCATTAGAATTAACCACGATAGTTTCCATGGAGAACCGTCTGGAGGTTGACCTGATAGGGTGTATCGATAGCAATGGGTCAGTTAGACCCCATTAATAACAATCCTCCCCCCCCCCCATGTGGATCTACAGATACAGGTAGACATTGCGACAATCTAATAGTTAATTAGATTAGTTTTCTTTTTTAATGAAATATTAATTATATGTTACTAAAAGGGAAAGGAAAAATTTGTAATATCATTGTAACTTTAATATAATATAATTCTTAAAAATCTTATAACATTCTTAAATAATACATCTTAAACGAATACAATATATTCAATACATACATACATACAATAAAAGTCCCCACGAATTAAAATTACTTATAAAATACATATACTATCGTTGAGAAGGTGGTATCATATATGATTTGATGTCAAGTTCTGTGCCAGTGGTGGATTTAGAGAGATTCTGTGCCGAGTGTCTAGAGATAACACGGCGCGCCCAAGCTAAGTCGCGACTACTCCGCGACTTTCGACTTCTAGATTTCGAGCTTCCAGTGCTGGCCGATTGGCTGCTGCATGTACAGCTCTCGGTCCCTGTCCAAACGGATTCACTTTCCTGCAGCTCTCGACAGTAAGTCACATCTGAACGTGTAAGAGTGCTCGTCGAGTACATCTGCGATGTACCCCTTTTATTCCTACCCGACGTTTTATCAATACGTAATTGAGCAATTGACGTCTCCAATTTAGGCGGACTTTTGGACCGTTTAGAACGACTGGTGTCCATTACATTACTAGTATCATCGCTTTCATCTTTGGACGGTAATGGCGATTCGACAATGGAGTTCTCATTACTACTCATTATTACAGCCATAAGTTTTTCAGTATTCTCATTCAGATCATAAACTTTCTGTGTCCTAATCGAACCAAGGGAAAACGTCTTTGTTTTTGGTGGCAGTAGCTTCGTTCTCTTTTTCTCGCTGTAATAAACAGCGCTTTGATGCGCTGATAATATTGCTGGAAAGCTTGAATCGACTTTGTTGTATTCGACATCTTTAATCAAAGACTTCTTGGATCGACCTGTACAATGGCAGATATTCGCATCTCCAAATATATAGTTGTAACACATTTGCAATATACATATAGCCAATGCTGCTAAGAGAACAAGACCGATATATAATTGCGGTGTCCAATCGGCGTTTATATATATAAAAGATTGTGTAAATGTTTTCCAAGGACTCCAGGTGGATGATGACCCTGCGCTTTCATATTCGAAAAGATTTCGGCGGGAAAGGCCTTTGCCGTAACTCTGCACTGCCGCTGCTATTCGTAAAACACCTCCGTAGGCCGCATAAAGTTTTTCATCTACAAGATGCGGCGCAACTTCTCTTTTCATCCAATGCCATAGTTCATTATTAAAATTTACGAAATCAGAATGTCGGCAATTTTTGGGCGAATTATGTAATATACATCTCGAAACAGTAGTATAGTACTTGAGTAAGATATTCTGAGAGTAAGGTGATGATAAACTTACTAGACCGCCCGTTCTAAATGGTAATGCAATTGCAGATGGTCTATTATAGTCATCTAACTTGGGCAACGGCAAATGAATACAAGAGTTAGAATCACGTATGGTGACCAAACATGCGCACGGGTCGAAGAATTTGCCGGCTCCAATCAAGATCCTTACAACAGTCAAGTTTGACCAAGAAGGCACTTTATCCGGTTCTTTCCATCCCCAACCTTGTGTATTTAAATTCATCTTTAGTTCATCAAAGAAGTCGTGCAATTGTCTAGCATTTCTATAAGGGATATAACCAGCGTAATAGGCGAAACGAACAGTAGGTAGCAATTCGCTTCTTAAGTATCCACCTATGGTATCTGCTAACGCTTCTTTTAGTACTGCTCTAGTAGAAACATCTTCATTATTTTTAACAATTTGCAGTGCTTTCTGAAAATACCGGAGAATATCTTTTGTATATTTCTTATCGATTTTATCGGGCGTAACTGAGGACGGCATAAGTTGTTCGAATGTTTTACGGGCACGCAGTTTGGCTAGATCCTCTTGATTCCAACAGTCTGACCTTGCCCTATTGTAAAATATAGCGGTACCTACATTGTTGGAGATAGCACACGCACTGGTAGTAATAACAATAATAAGAAATATGCACAACATTGAATTTTTATTTAATAATATTTTTTATTTCATTAAATATCATATTAAGTGTTTTAAAAAATGATGCTTTAAAGGAAAATATGATAATTACTTTAGGGTAGGAAGATGATGATTAGCTATTAGTTCAAGATGCTACTTCTGTATGATTCTATTCAAATATAAGCAAAATAATTTATATAAGGATTTGGATACTGACATGATAAGCTGCATAGATACGACCTTCTTATTACTTAGTACCTACCTAAGTGCTTTATCTAAATTTTGATAAAATAAAAATAAATTTGGTTGTAATAGATCTTAATTAATGTTATAAAATTACATATTTAGCCACATTGTTGTGCAACTGGCGTGCAAAATGTAGTCTTATTTACGTGGATACATTTTAGATGGCTTTAAAGTAGCGATATTTATTCTAATTACAATAAAACTGGTACTATTTATTCATCTTTCTTCTTTTCTTCAATGTTAATCGGTTGTTATTTTTGCAACCACTTTGCCAGTGTCGCGTTTATTTATTCTTATTCTATGCTTTTCGATTTTCATTTGCTGTTTCATAGAATAAAACTGACACTGACATTGACAATGAAAAGACAAAGAGAAATATTGCGCGATTTTGCTTGATTTCAGATTGTTTATTAATTATTATCTTTAAATTGAAATATTTGGAATTAGATACCCAACCTAGTAAAAGTAAAATCATGTGCCTCTCTAGAAATCTATAATTAGTTATATTATTACAACAATGTCAAGGGTAAGTAATATACAAAACAAATATTACTGTCCCAATATATAATAAACAGTTTCTGTTACTTTAAATTTACCCATCTATATTTTAAATTATAGAATGAATATTTCATATCTTTCATATTTTTTGCAAGTAAATCTTACGTGAGTTATACAATTTTAATTGAATCAAAGATAAAATAATGTTGCATTTCCTACCACATTGGCATGTTATTATTTTTAAATTATGAACTTATCAGTTTAGTCTTGGGCTATTTTTTTTTTCTTGTTCCATTATTTACATAAAATAATTTAACCTACAACCCTTTACTTTTATTTCTTTTTTTTATATATAGAGTTTACCTGGGTGTCCATGTTAGTCTGATACTCATGTTTCATAATCTAATTTGTGTTGTGTATTGTAAGTATACAATTTAAATGCAAATGCTAATTCGCAAGAGGATTATTTTCCTAAGTAAAAACATATAATGCATATACATAATAAGAGATGGTAAAATACATCTCTAAGTCATCTGGTCACCATTAATAGCACCATATTATCCATCTCTAATAAGGAGAGACTTATGCCCAGTAATGGGAATGTTATATCATGCAGTATTTGCTCACTAAAAGTATGACAGAAAATAATATTATTAAAAGCCGCCTTGTTTTAATGATGATAACAAGCTCGTTACCCTCCATTAATGAGGAGATATTTATACCCAGCAGTGGGATGTTGTATTATATGGTACTTGTTCTCTAATAATATGACAAAACAAACCAAGACTGTATCACCTATCTAACAATATAAATCAAGGCAAGGTATAATGTTATCACCATTATTGATGATAATATACTATTATTAGCTTTACTATATTATATATATATATCTTAGATTATAGTGTTCCCTTACAAATACTCATTTAAAGAAAGGTAATTTTTTTTCTGTGTAAAATACTATGAGAATAGGGTTACAATAATGTAAATTTACTACTAAGTATATGGGAGAAAGTTTATTTAAAGGTTAAATTGAAAAATAAGTATTACAAAATTCTTATAATATTATATATTTGAAAGAACCAGATAAGCTGTTATTAATGATTCATAATGATGCTTATCTTTATTGAATACTTTGATTCCTAATTTAAATAATTAAAAATGGCAGCCATTTTAATTAATATATATTAATTTGTAAGCAATACATATTTGTATATTTATATTATTAAAAAAATAGTTCCTAATTCTAATTTAAAATGAAACCTTATCTAGGAAATTTTTAATCTATTTGCAACATAGAAAAAAGTATGTTTGTTGTAATTTAAAAAAAAAAAACTTGAGTCAGACAATCTGATGTTTGGCTGACTAAAAGTTGATTCATCTTTTTACACTCGATGCTCAATCTATATAATCTGAGACATAAATATAATGAAGATAATAATAGCCTGCTATATCCATTTGATGTGCTGTGTGGTCCCGGCATAGAAGGGGCCACTCCTTCCTTTTCTATGGGTGTTAAAGAGGAGAACTTAATGGTCGAAATATGGCCAGCAGTATTTCTCTAAAAATATCATGAAAACTTAACTGTGGTTACGAACCCGCCTGCCAAGTGTGGCAACTACTAGTAAAATCCCCTTATGGTGGAGGCCTTTGTTCTGCAGTGCACAGTTAATAATATACTGTATAATATGAATACTGATATAATAATCATCATTTGTAAAATTTTATGGAATAGATATATACAAAGGTCACAACCCTCATACAGTGATATCTATGTGATGACACATGGGAAATAAACATTGTATTGTTAATTTGACAGGTAATGTATATAGTGGAATAACATGTTAGTGTACAGTCACCAACATGTTACTCAATAATGCACATTCCTATTATACACTATACTACATTTTAGTAATTTTTTTTTTATTATTATAAATATTTTAAACAAAAGCAATCAAGTAGCAATTATAGTATTTAACAAACATTAACAATTATTATTCCTTAAATACAAGTATGTGTAATTTAATTCTTTTTCCCTTTATATATTAGTAATAAAATTTATTTAATTATTATTTAATATATTAAATTATATGCAATAAGAATAATAAATTATAATATACAAAATATACATATTTTGAAACAAGGCAGAATAACTGTTTTACTATCTTTAGAACTATTTTCATTTTTATATTTAAATTTAATAGGATATCAGATCATTTTTCCAACCGAAAAAGCCTCAAAAACCTAAAATAGAAGAAGATGATGATGTTATACCAGAGTCTCCAGATGTCCATATAAAAGATAAGGTGTGTATTTTAAGTTTTTTTAATTAAAAAAATAATAGAAGCCAAATATAATTCAAGAGCTCTACCGACAAGAGCACAGCTCTTAAATAGGATAGATAGATAGAAATATAATTACTAAATAATTCAATGTTATATTTCTAATAATTTCTAAAAGTTAACAAAAAATATGAATAATTACAGAAAAAGATTTCAAGAAAGAAACAAGTTTTGAGAGATGATTCCGATGAGGAAATATTTACATTGAAAAAGAACAATTTGAGTAATGAGTCTAACAAATCTCACAGTAGAAAAGCTAAACCACCACAAAAACCTGTTCTGAAAGAAGTGAAAGCTGTTGATTTGTTTGGTAGTGAGCCTATAAAAAGGAGCGAACCGTTAGTCAAGAAAGAAAAAAGAAAAACTGAATTTGGTATACATTCAGATGAGGAATTTGATAAAAGCTTACTAGAACTTGATATTGAAGAATCATCACCACAAGAAAAAAGTCCCATAAAGTCCATAAATGAATCAAAAAGTGATCATGTCAAAGATAAATTTTCATTTAATGCTAATGAAGTATCACCAATCAAGGATAAACAATTAAGTAAATCAAAAGATAATGGCACATTTACAAAGGAAAAGTCTAGTAGAGCTATTTATAATAACGTAAAAAATGAGAATAAAAGAAAATTTGCTGAATTTGTTGATAGTGAACACAACCACCAAGAAAACAATGGCGACATTAAGAATAAAAAGAAAAAATTAAACACTAGTAATTTGGAAGTGAAAACAAATTATACAGAAACAACTAAAACAATATACACTAGTGAATATTTTGATGATAGTTGTATGGAGGTTGAAGAAGACCAGAAAGATACAAAACACAAGAAAAAGAAACATGATAAAAGTTTAAATGAGTCTGGTAAGTAAATACTGCTAAATAAATAACTGCAATTAAGTTTAAGTAAAACTATTATCTCAACTTGATTATTAATAAAATAGTAACTAGACAATTTCTGTATCTACATATCCAGATATTAAGAAAAAATATGAGGGGTCCTGCAATAATCGCCCTTGCAATAGAAGTGAAATCAATAATTTATAGAAATTTTCTCTGTTTGTTTGTATGTTTGTCGCAGTATGACGCAAAAACTACTGTACCATTTCAGATTCAGTATTCACAGTTGTATTCTACTGTTGTGTAGTAGAAGTTTCCAGGAAATCAACTGGAAGTGAACTATTACATTGGTTTTCCTTGTAATCCACTATGTGTGTTTTACCTCGACCTATTTATTTTTATGTATTATTATTTATATTATATATGTATGTTTATGTATTGTAATCTTATTTTTATATTTAGAATATTTTGAATTTTGTTTGATTTCTTTTTTGTATTTACTGTGTCTGTCTTGCGCCATCTACCTTTCTCTCTGTACTTATCCATTATTTATGCCAGGTTGTCTGTAAGAGATTGCTTTTAGCGATAATGCCGCCTTTTGTATATGCACATTCTTTATAAATACTCCTTGTATACATCTCTGTTGTGCGCAATAAAGAGTTTATTATTATTATTATTTTCCTACTTCTGATAGCTAAGGGTATGAAGTAGTGGGTAAAAAGATAGTTATTACTGTAAAATGTATCTCTAAAAAATTGCTATTTTTAGTTCTTTTTTAGAATAATTTCATAAATATTTGAATGCTGTAGTATGAATTTTATTTATCTTTATTTTACTGTATTATCTTTACTAATACAATACTTATTGTTCTTAAACTGTTTATGTTTCATAGTAGCTCCGAGCTTCATGTCAAATTTCCTTAAATAAGGTTTAAGGAGCAAGTTACTAAAATTTTTAAAGAGATCAATTGGTTACTATTAATATTTATTGTTTAGCACTGACTGATGAAGAGAGACATGAAAGACGGCGGCAGTCGGCAGCACTTTATCAGCAGTATTTACATAGGGCTGGCCCCAAACATCTGGGAAGTAAAGAGATACCCGAGGTAAAATTAATATTAATATATATATATATATATATATATATATATATATATATATATATATATATATATATATATATATATATATATATATATATATATATATATTAATAATTAAAGGAAAAAAAATATTTTGAATGTTTATACAATATGTTTATAATTAATTATATAGTTATACAATAATAACTGAAGAAAATAATTCTTGTTGTTAAAACCATTATGCAAAAGTTACTTATTTTTCAGTAAGTAACTGAAAAAAATTTTCAAGAAATTTTCTAATTAAAAAAAAAACATTCTCTATCTATAATTTCACAGGTTCGCATATTGATCAGAAACGAATTATATTATAATGTACAATTAATAACAAAAGTCTAAAAAAAAAGTTTCCAGTTTAAATACTTTAGTTATCTTTCAAGATTTCCAACTAGAAGCATGTAGAACCAGAAGAAGTAAAACTAGAAGCATGAGTGTGATTACATATTTATTTCCAGGGTCCACCAAATTGTCTTAAAGATTATGCCTTTTTATTGACTGGAGTGCTAGACTCATTTGAAAGGGATGAAATTGTTGCAGCCATAAACAAATATGGAGGCTGCATCAAAAGTGGAGTCAGCAAAAAGGTATTAAGTTAAACATCTGTTGATGAAAGAAACTTTGTTCAAAGTTTCTTTTTCCTGTTAAAATGTATTGGTTAATTAATTAAATTATTTTACATAACCTATAGTAAATTACAAACATCTCCTAACATGGAAAAAAATTACAGCAGACACAGAAAACTTCTTGTATCTGGATTTATTCCAAATATAATAAAATAATTACCGTGTGGTCCCGGCATAGAACGAGCCACGCCTTCTTTTTTCGTGAGTGTCGTAAGGGGCAACTCAGGGAATTTAATAGTCGAGGGATGGGCAACAGTATTCCTCTTTAAACATCATCAAAGCCTAAATACGGTTACCAATACGCCCGCCACGCTTGGTAACCACTGGCACCACCCCCCTTATGGGAAGAGTTCTATGTTCATGTGTATAACAGTGAATAGTCAATGGCTAATAAGATGATGATGATAAAATAAAAAGTAAAACACTTTCAATATCAATGATCAATAATATTGAAATAAAAATTATTTTTCTATGCAATATAAAGTCACTGTAATAAAAAATATAAAATGAACAGTAAATAAATTTAAAAAAAATGGAGATATGTAACTTGGAAGGTTTTTTTATAATTATTCAATAAATATTCGGAAATATTGGTGATTAACCGCCGATAAACCTTATAGTGAATTCTAATTAGAAATTTATAATATTTAGGTAACCCACGTGCTCGCTGGGTCGGATGCGGGTCCCGCAAAAATGGCCAAAGCCCAAGAATTAGGTATTAAAATAATAAATGAAGATCAATTCCTCGATATGATCGCACACCCACCGCATAAAGATACCACAGAAGCAAAAGTAGATATAAAAAAAGAAAAAACTCCTATTAAAAAAGCAAAAACACCACAGAAAAAAACAAATGGCTTTAAAAAATTAGATAAAGAATCGAGATTAGAAGAAAAGGTAACAAGAAATAGTTCTGATGATGATACAAAAGAAAGTTCAAATAAAATAAACGGACAAGTAACAAAAGTAAAAGAGTTAAATAAAGAAAATGGGGAACAGAACAGTGAATCGACTTCAAACGAGTCTATTATTTCTATGAAAAGTGTGAGCGATCCATCTACAGTATCATTGATGTGGGTTGATAAATACAAACCGCAAAGTGTTAAAAGTATTATTGGACAACGTGGTGAAGCGAGCAACGTTAATAAGTAAGCTAAATGACTCTTCTTTTATATATAATATAAAAAATCTACTATTGTTATATATGTATTGTCTTACTATGTAAATGTTGCAGTATTATTCAATAATTACACGCCCTTATGTATGTGTAAAGTAACCAAGTTAAAACATTTTTTTATGCAACTTAGAATGCCAAACAAACTGACGGCCCAGCTGATGGAAAATGGTAACCGTCGTCTATAGATACGAGCCGTACCATGGACATAACAGAGTATACTGTTTCGCCCATGATACTCCCCATGCATTATCATTTCTGAGGGCTTATTGATTGTTAGAGAGTGTTATTCCTCTGTACCCTGTAAATTCACTGCCATATCCCACCCTTCAACCGAAACAGCATTTTGAAAATGTTGAAATATGCAACTACAGATTAGTACAGTAAATCTTAATCGTAATTTTAGAAGGTAATGTCAGAATAACCAAAACATTAAACTTTTGAAATGCGAAGAAATTCATATTGAATAATCTAATGCATTATAGAGATGGGGTTTTATAATTTAATTTCATAAAAAAGACATTTTCACAAAAAAAAAAACATACTTTTAACCAAAACACTAAACGCAAACAGGTAGCGGTAATAGGTGAAGTAGATGCCTCTATTTACGACTTAATAGAATTCTTCTGCTATTTACACATAATTCCGTAAAAATGTCAAACCCCCCAATACCTATTTTAGCCATAAAACTGTTTTGTCTCTTTCTTGTACACTAAATTCCTACTTTGAAAGAAAGTAATAACAGTATAATAGTTGGGGTTAGTGTTTATCTATCGTAAAATTTCATCCTTATTTTAAAGATAGCTCAGGTATGTAAAAAATAAAATACGAATATTTCAGATTAATGAACTGGCTGACGAAATGGTACGTGAATAGAAAAGCTAAGCTGCCGAAGCCGAGTCCATGGGCGAAGAATGACGACGGTGGTTATTACAAGGCAGCGCTACTCTCCGGCCCGCCAGGAGTTGGTATGTACACCATTGAATAATATAGCATGTTTAGACAAAGAAATATTCTATCTTAACAGAAAAATCTGTTAGTCTATGGTTTTAGTAAAGTGCCTGGTATGTTGCGTAGACATATTTTTTCAACTAGATTTTACCCACGACTTTCTTCGCGTGACTGGAATAAATAGTGTCAGCCTGTGACTTTCTCCATCCCAAATAATATTTGTTGTTTTCAAACTTTATGACGATCGGTTAAACGGTGACAAACACTCACTGTCTTTTATATATATATTATATAATACAAGTGCACTGTCTTTTTATATTTATACATATATAAGGGCTAATAAGCGTTCTTAGTTAAGAATTCTTTTCAAACACACCTTAAGAAAGTACGCTCTTTTGGAAATAAATACTTATCGATTACGATTTATTTAAATGTTTATTTTCCGCTACGTCTCACCACCGGAAATCAAGGAAATGTTGTGAGAGATTGTTTAAAGATGAAACTTTTTTAAAAATAGTGAAACATTTACAGGTAAAACTACCACGGTGGCGTTAGTGTGCAAGGAACTAGGCTTCGACATGGTGGAGTTCAACGCGTCAGACACTAGAAACAAGACGCTGATTAAAGAACAAATTGGCGAACTGCTCACTACTACCTCACTATCTGGATATGCTAAAGGTATTGTTGTTGAAAATAATAAGCTAGGTTTGATAAATAATAAAAATGTATGTATTATGTGAAGCTTAGAAGAGAATAGCAAACTGTCATAAATTATTATATTGTTATATTTTTGTATTTAATATTTTGATTATAGAACATTAATAAAAACGACTATAGAGTTTTTACAACATATCCTCCCGTAATCAAAATATATATATAACAAAAATATTACTTAACAAAAATACTGGTACAAAAATAACAAGATAAAAGGTTACCCAATGCCCATATTCGTCATACATCGTAAATGCTTAACATGACCTAAAGGTTTTGTCAAAACATCCGCTGGTAGTGAATCAGTGGGCATATACCTTAATTCTATAATTTTGTCATTTACTTTTTCTCTAATAAAATGAAACTTTACGTCTATATGTTTAGTTCTATTGTGATGGACTGGATTCAACGCAAGTTTCTGGGCACTCTGACTATCAGAAAAAATGACAACATTTAGAGTTTTACCTGTTATTTCTGCCACAAAACGTTTTAAGAAACAACCTTCCTTAGCAGCTGCTGATAGCGCCATGTATTCGGATTCCACAGAGGATAATGCGACTGTAGGCTGTTTTCTTGATTCCCAAGAAATAGGGCCTTTTGCGAGTTCGAAGTAAAATCCTGTATATGAGCGACGACTAACAGGACAGTTTGCGAAGTCAGCATCTGAGTAACCACGCAGTATAGAGGAGTCTTCAGTTTTTCTGTATGAAATACCAACATGCTTAGTTGCACTTAAATATCGAAGACATCGCTTAGCAGCATTCCAATGAGATTGATCATTATTGGAGTTAAATTGGCTTAAGTAACTCACTGCGTAAGCTATATCAGGCCTTGTATTTACTGCCAAATACATAAGACAGCCAATTAATGCCTGATAGGAACATTTAGACTCACCTGTACTAGGTTCCAGTTTCTTTTGAGCAAGGGGTGTTGAAACCGATTTACAGTTTTGAATTTCAAACCTTTTTAACAAACTTTCAATATACGTACTTTGACATATTTTAATAATATTCTCTCGGCAAGATATATTTATGCCTATGAAATAATTAATAATACCAAGATCTTTAAGTGAAAAATAATTTTCCAACTCACATTTTAAGTTGTCAAATGTTACTTCATTTTTATACATAATTAAAAGATCATCAACATATATGGCTATAACCAAGGAGTCTGTATTCGAAATATTTTTAGTAAACACGCAAGGTTCTGATGGTGTTTGAGTGAATCCAATAGTTGACAAAGTTTGTTTTAACTTTATATTCCAAGCTCTCGGAGCTTGTTTCAAACCATATAAGGCCTTTTTCAATAAGCATACCTTATTTTCATCTTCCTTTCTCTGGACAAACCCTTCTGGCTGATCCATATAGACTTCTTCTTCCAAATCACCATATAAAAAAGCAGTATCTACATCCATATGACGTATTTTGTATCCTTCCTGTACTGCTAGTGCTAACAGCGTTCGCAACGATGAGGAGCGTACAACGGGAGAAAAAGTCGCATAATAGTCTACACCTTCTATTTGTGTAAAACCTTTAGCTACTAAACGAGCTTTATATTTGACTATATTTCCTTCAGCATCTCTTTTCAATTTGTAAACCCACTTAGATGGAATACAAGATTTAAAGCTTGGTTTTTCCACCAATACCCAAGTTTTCCTCTTTAATAAAGCATCATACTCATTATTCATGGCAGTGATCCAGTCATTTTTATCATCTCTTGTAATTGCGTCACGATAAGTCAAAGGATCACCGCACAGCAGATCATCGCTTAGAGTATTATAAGAAAAATAGTTTGGAGGTTTACGTATTCTTTCAGGGTACCTTCTTCCAGATCTATCATCATTAGAATTACTTGAAGAACCCGATGACGGAGATGAAGAATTAATTATATTACCTGAATGTACAGTCTCCATTCCTTGATTGCGTACCTCTTCAGTACTGACTGAATTGTGATCTTGTTCCTCAATTGCTATATCACCACCTCCGCCAATTGAAGGAGAAGATAATGAAGCTTCTTCTGAGGATGAGGTCTTTGAAAATAAGTAACTTGTATCACAGTTTACGTCGTCTGCCTTTTCAATTGTTAGTCCTGTAAACTTATCTTCAAAAAAAGTTACATCTCTCGATTTTACTAACTTTCTAGGTGTTTTCGCACTTCGGAAGTAGTAACTTCTAGGATCATCTGAATATCCTATAAAAATATGTTCAGTTGCTTTCATATCTAGCTTAGTTCTTTGGCAAGAAGGAACATGAACTAAAGCTCTGCATCCGAAGACTTTAAGATGAGATAAGTTAGGTTTAGATCCGTACCATATCTCAAAAGGAGTTTTCTTATTAAGAGCACGATGTGGCGACCTATTTTTCAAATAAACACTAGTCGCTACAGCATCTTGCCAATAAGCTTTCGCAAGTGAACCATGAGACAACATGCAACGGGCTTTCTCCATAATGCTACGATTGCATCGTTCACTCACTCCATTTTGCTGAGGGCTATAGGGCATCGTAGTTTGGTGCTTGATACCATTTGAAGCCAAATAATCAGCAAATTCATTGTTGACGTACTCAGATCCATTATCAGATCGCACTATTTTTATTTTTGAGCCAGTTTCACGTTCAACAAGAGATTGAAAAATAGAAAACTTTGATTTGACTTCTGTCTTAGAAGATATAAAATAAATAAATATAAACCTGGTAAAATCGTCTATAAAAGTAATAAAGTATTTATTACCTTGAAAAGAGGTTGTTTGAAATGGTCCACATAAATCTGTGTGAATTAATTCTAGTACTGACGTAGCTTTCTTACTTTTCAACCGTTTAAAAGGTTTTCTTGCTTGCTTACCCTCCACGCAGGGTATGCATGGTTCCTTGTCAACCTCCTTGTACTCCACTCCAACTGCTAGACCTTTTCTAAGTAGATCCATACCTATGCGACAGAGATGTCCTAATCTCTTATGCCAAATTTTAAAATTTGAGAGTTCAGAGTGCACATTATAGGCTGAAACATTTTGTGGCAAGTTAATAGAACAATCTAAATTATACATTCCACCACTAAAAGAACCGTGCAAAATAGGGTTATTAGCAAAAGATACATCACAAGATTTATAAAAGTTACAACCATTTTTATCAAAAACAACAGAAAAATCTTTTTCGACAACTTTCTTTACCGAAAGTAAATTACATTTTAAACTAGGAACATAAATAACATTACTTATTTTTGATACTACAGAGTTGCTATTTATTGATACCTCACCAATACCCACAGCTGGCAATTTTTGTCCGTTTGCTACAGTTATGCTTCCACTATCTATAGAACGATAATTTTTTAGCCATTCACCGTGTGAAGTCATATGTCCCGATGCTCCAGAGTCGATTATCCATTTATCGGAGTTCTGGTTATTTAGGGATGACATAGCCACTTCAGACAAGCAATCTGTTGTATCTTCTACGTTTTGTTCAATTTTCGACATATTTACCTTTTTTACCTTTTTAATAGGGCAATTAGGGCTCTTATGTCCAGGTTTTCTACATTTAAAACATATAATAGGTTTCTTCGTCTTCGCTTTTAATTGTGAAGTACGAAACGCTGCAACATCATCATTTTGAGCCATCTTTGACATTTCACTCAATAACTTCGTCTTAACCATTTCTGATGTTACTTCGAGGTTTGAATGTTCTAGAGCCATTACCAGTGGATCATAACGAGATGTTAGTCCACCTAATAAAATCGCAGCAAGAGAGCTATCTTCAATTGTTTTGCCAATATCTGCCAAATTCTGGGCAGTTGTCATGACTGCATTAATGTACGACTCAATATCGGTAAAATCTGATAGGGAGTACCTGTACAGCTGTCGCTCCAATGACAACTTCCGACCAAGACTTTGGTCTTCATATGCCTTTTGTAATACATACCATGCCTCTTTCGCTGACGTTGCTGTCCTCACATGCGTCATTGCCGCACCATCCACAGAAAGACAAATTTTTGACAATGCTTTCTGGTCATTACGTGCTTTTACATGGGAAGGTGTATCGTCAGACGATTCATAACCATCTATTGTATTCCACAACTCTTCGTGCACCAACAGCATTCTCATTTTGAATTTCCATGCTGTATAATCTTCACGTTTCACCAACATTTTTATACAATTCAAATTCATCCCAGCCATTATGAATGAGTAGAATTATCTTTTAAATAAATTCCTTACCTCGTGCTGATAACGAATGTTGAAAATAATAAGCTCAGTTTTGATGAATAATAAAAAATGTATGTATTATGTGAAGCTTAGAAGAGAATAGCAAACTGTCATAAATTATTATATTGTTATATTTTTGTATTTAATATTTTGATTATAGAACATTAATAAAAACGACTATAGAGTTTTTACAACAATTGTACGCCCAAGAGCACTCGCAAGGCAAAAAGGAAATATTTATAATCTGTTATTGAAGGTTACGATGTTGTTTCGGTTCGGAAATATTGCAACGATGACCTAAGATTGACAATAATGACAGCAACATCGATAATAACGATATCAATAATAATGAAATTTAAAAAAGGCGATAAATATTCAATGGAATGTTTTAGACCAGTTGCATTGCTTACAACATTTTTAAAAATTTTTGATAAAAACATATATTTACAAATATACGAGTACCTTGAAAAACAAAATCTATTTACATCAGATCAGAAAGGACTTAGACGTAATAAATACATGAACTTAGCAATTTATGATTTCTTGTACACTGTTTTGACAAATATGGATAAAAGTACACCGGTTTGCTCCATTTACTGTGATATGACTCAAGTTTTTAATTACGTAGACCATAATATTTAACTTTAAAAAATATTATGGTCTATTAGCGGTAATGTTTTAAATTTACTATATTTTAAGTCTCACCTTACTGACAGGAAACAATGTACTCAAATAACTAAAATAATAGAACCAAACTTGAAAAAAATTGTATGTCTGACCAGAGAACTGTCTTGTATGATGTTCCCCAGGGTAGTATCATGGACCCATTGTTGTTTATAAATGATCTACCCAAAATAACAAAGCAACCTATGTCACTTTTTGCTGATGACAGTACAGTAACAATAGAATGCCAAAGTATTGATGAGTATGAAAATGATGTAAACCAAGCTTTGAAGAATATAGTTAAATGGTTGGATAATAATAATCTAAAAATAAAAATTAATAAAACACATATAATGCATTTCAGTCAAAGGACTTTAAATACTATTAGTGCTTCTTACCTTAATAGTGATATAGAAATTGTAGGGAATACAAAATTCCTAGGTATTATAATAGACAATAAATTAAACTGGAAAGATCATATAGATGAATTATGCAAGAAATTGAGCTCTTCGGCTTATGCTTTTAATAAATTGTCTCCTATAGTAAATGAATCAGCGCTCATTACAGCATATCATGGTATTACTGCTTCAAATTTACGGTACGGCATAATATTTTGGGGAAATTCAATGAAGAAAGAATTTGTATTTAAAACTCAAAAAAGGTGCATAAGAGCCATGTTTAATCTTAAAAATACTGATAGTTGTATGTCGTATTTCAAATAATATAATATATTGACAGTACCTTTATTGTACATATTTGAAGTGTGTGTATTTGTTAAAACTAATAAGAATTTGTTTCCACGACTTTCAGAAATTGTTAAAGGCAATCGACGTGATAATGATAAGTTATATCTAAAAAAATCTAGTACAAAACTTGTGCATGATAGTACATTACGTATGACACCAAAAATCTATAATAAAATACCAAAATCTATAAAGGATGCACCAACTAATGTATTTAAGTATAAATTAAAAAAATTCTTAATCGATAAATGTTATTATAATGTATGTGAATTCTTTAATGATAAAATTTTACAAAAGGAATATTTATTTATATTTATTAACAACACTGTGACATCGTTCTTTTATTCTTGTCGGACAATTATTATTTATTTAAATGTATTTAAACTTGTAATATGATGACGATTAATGGTATAAAATGGACTTGATGTATAATGTGAACTATATGTGTAACTACATATTTTTGTATGCTGTACAGGCTAAACATATCGAACGATATTATATTGTCAACATTTGCATGTATTTATACGCATGTTTTACAAATAAATAAATCTTGAATCTTGAAATTAAACAATAACAACAGCAACAATGATAGCTTTGACAAGAATAACGATAGCAACATCAGCAATAGCATTTTAATTCAGTGTTCACCTATTATTTATATTTAGATATTTAGAACTAGAATGTTATAGGATTTATAAAAGTTGTATGTTGATATATAACATATTTTTTAATATTATAACAGTATTTATATATATTATATATATCTTAATAAATAACAATAATGACAACAGCAATAACAGCAACAATAATAATGACAGCAATGACAATAACAACAATAGCAATATCAACAACAACGATAATACCATCATCAATATCTATAGCAACATCAACAACAACGATAGCAACATCATTTACAACGATAGCAAAATAAACAATAATTATAGCAATAACAACAACAACGATAATACCATCATCAATAACTATAGCAACATCAATAATAATGATAGTAGTAACAACGACAGTAACATTGACACAACGGCAGCAGCAACAGTAACAATGACAATAACAACTACAACAACCTCTACAATAACGATAGCAGCGACAACAACAACGACAGCAACATCAACAACAACGACAGCAACATCAACAACAACGACAGCAGCATCAACAACAACGACAGCAACATCAACAATAACGACAACAGCATCAACAACAACGACAGCAACATCAACAACAACGACAGCAGCATCAACAACAACGACAGCAACATCAACAACAACGACAGCTGCATCAACAACATTGACAGCAACATCAACAACAACGACAGCAGCATCAACAACAACTCCAGCAGCAACACCAACAACAACAGCAGCAACAACAACAACAACAGCAACAACGACGACAACGACAGCAACATCAACAACAACGACAGCGACAACGACGACAACGACAGCAACATCAACAACAACGACAGCAGCATCAACAACAACGACAGCAGCATCAACAACAACGACAGCAACATCAACAACAACGACAACGACAGCAGCATCAACAACAACGACAGCAGCATCAACAACAACGACAGCAACATCAACAACAACGACAGCAATATCAACAACAACGACAGCAGCATCAACAACAACTCCAGCAGCATCAACAACAACGACAGCAGCAACACCAACAACAACAGCAGCAACAACAACAACGACAGCAACATCAACAACAACGACAGCGACAACGACGACAACGACAGCAACATCAACAACAACGACAGCAGCATCAACAACAACTCCAGCAGCATCAACAACAACAACAGCAGCAACAACAACAACAACAGCAGCAACAACAACAACAACAGCAGCAGCAACAACAACAACAGCAACAACGACGACAACGACAGCAGCATCAACAACAACTCCAGCAGCATCAACAACAACGACAGCAGCAACACCAACAACAACAGCAGCAACAACAACAACGACAGCAACAACGACGACAACGACAGCAGCATCAACAACAACGACAGCAGCATCAACACCAACGACAGCAGCATCAACAACAACTCCAGCAGCAACACCAACAACAACAGCAGCAACAACAACAACAACAGCAGTATCAACAACAACGACAGCAACATCAACAACAACAACAGCAACAACGACGACAACGATAACATAATAATAAAAACATCAACTACGACAACAACAATTTATATATAGTGGTTTTATAATATGCATATTTACAGGTAATACCGGTAAACAAGCGGTCACTAAGAAACACGTGTTGGTGATGGACGAAGTGGACGGCATGGCCGGCAACGAAGACCGAGGTAAGCCTAAATAGTACCACCTAAGGCTTATTACTAAACTAAATCTTTATTATATACGATATATTTCAAAACATTGACATAAATTTTTCTTTATAATTCAATATCATACAATGGCTGGTTATACAAACCAAATAATCGAACTAAATGGTAATAAAATAACACTGTACCTCGACAATGTCTGTCTTAAAAGGATTAATAGAAGCCAAAACAGTGCTTTTTGGAAATTTTGTCTGAGTGTTTGTTTATATTTTTCTTATATCATTACGTGAAAAATAATACACCAAATTGGATACGGTTTTCACACATCTATTTCTGAAGGTCTAACTTAAAATCTGTTGAATTTTTTTTTTATTTTGAAATATCTATTAGTGGTGTATTTATTTAATAGTTTTTCCTACTGAAGTCCATGCGTACGAAGTAGAGAGCAAAAAGCTGGTACATCCGACTGAGAATCGAACTAGAATGTACGTAAAGCAATATATAGTATTACTGTGCCACGATAGTTACTATATGTATACAGATATAGTTTAGGTAATAATAATATAGCACTTTTTAATTCCTTATCTTTATTTTATGATACAGTGTTATTTATGTTATTAAGTTTATGCTATTTGTTTATTTGTTATTTTATTCATTTCATTTCAAGTTACCTAAAGATTTATTGTTAGTACTCAGTTTGTGTTAATATTTAAAAAGTTATAATTTTCTTTTATTCAACCTCGATTCGATTTTAAAAAGAAGGAGATTCTCAATTCGGTTATATATTTTTTTATGTTTGTTACCTCCTAACTCCGTCAGTTATAAGTCGATTTGGAAAATTTCATTTATCTGAAATACAGATTAGTCCCATAGTAATTTTATTAAAATCGCTACAGTAGTTTATTTTCAAATCTAAATAACTGATGTTGCCACAATAAAGTTGAATTTTTTCTTTAAAACACACAAACACACTAATAAAATAAATCAATAAAATAAAATACAATCTTATTTTTTATTTTATTAGACTGGAACTCCTTCTTAGATATATATTTATAATTTGTTCAACTCTTACTTATCCTGTGCTCATGTGATTACTAAGCTACACATTGTTATTTCCAGGCGGGCTACAAGAGCTGATTTCTTTGATAAAAGCGACATCTGTGCCCATAATATGCATGTGCAACGACCGTAACAGTCAGAAGATGCGCAACTTCGTCAACTACTGCTACGACCTGAGATTTAACAGGCCCAGGGTCGACCAAATCAAGGTAACAGTTACTTCATAAGCGACGAACCGTACCAGCATTTTATATATATATATATATATTTTTATTAAATTAAAACCCAATTATTTGCTGATAAACATATCAATCGTTTGTCCACTACTGAACATAGGTGTCTCCCTTGAGGGGGTTTGCCACTAGTTGTCATGCTTAGAAGATGGGTTCGCAACCATAGTTAGACTCTAGTAATATTTTAATAGTGACACTGCTACCCCTGCGGCGTGACGGCCGTCATGATGGAAAGTAGTAACCGTCGCCTATAGACATGAGCAGTACCATGGACATACATAGATACCATAACAGAGTATACTGTTTTTAAAGGAAAGGAAGGGTTGGCACATTCTATGTTGGAACTACATGGTAATTTGCTGATAATGTATATGTATATTTCATAGTTGAAAGAGTTTTTAAAATCGTTTAATTATTTTTTGATATTACAATTAAAAAAAGGAACAAAATTTTCATGTTTATAATATTAATTTATAATTGACTTAGACTTCAAAAAGTACAGAATTATGTTTCTGTCGTAATCATGGCTGCTGATGGTCGCGCTCTGAATTCAAAATATAGATGAGAATCAAAATCTATGTCTAGTCAAAGCGTATCTTGGCTCTCACCAGAGATACCCCAGCCGACCCCAATGACCAGCCAGGATCGTCTACTAAATCTTTTCACTGTAAGATTTAGCCCTTATTCTTAAACACGCCAAATATCTGACGAACTTATTTTAACTATTGAAATCTTTTTATTTTGCTCTTAATACTCTATTTGAAAACAAATGACAAAATACTCTATCACATAAGTTTGTCGAAGGTTCTTTTAATGTAACTTAGAATGGCAAACAAGCTGATGGCCCATCTGATGGAAAGTGGTAAATGTTGCCTATAAACATGAACAGTACCATAGACAACAGAGGATACTGTGTCGTTCATAATCCATGATACTTCATGCGATGTCATTTTGGAGCACTGAGGTATTATGTCTAGGGTATAGAACCCTGTAATTTCACTGCCATATTCTACCCTTTAAACCGTAATACAGCTATGTAAACCACTGCTTCACGATAGAAATACAACTGAGACAAAGATACCCAGGCAAACGACTTTTGTACAAACTCTTCCTCTGGTAAAGGTTTCAGTTTTTATAAATAAGCTAATTAGTAGTAAAATAACTAAATTATATTATAACATATTTCAGTCAGCAATGATGACGATATGCTTCAAAGAGAACATCAAGATTCCACAAGAGGCGTTGACTCAGCTAATCGTGGCTTCCAACCAGGATGTCAGGCAGACCCTAAACCTGCTGTCGATGTGGGCTGTAGACTCGGACCTCACTGACATGGAGCGATTGAAGAAAGATGCCAAGACTATAAAAAAAGATATTAAATTAGTGAGTGAATACTGATAGCTTATAGTCGCGGCATGTTTATTTATTTTTTATACTAACAGTTGCTTCCTAATGTGGACATATGAATTACACATAAAAATCAAAGAAGTAGGTAACCACTGCTAGGTGGAGTATCAAGTTACACCCTTAGAAAAACTACTACGAAAACCACATGCAATTTGGTGCAGTAGAATTCACATGATGCCAGAACAAATATACATATATACATATATATATATATATATATATATATATATATATATATATATATATATATATATATATATATATATATATATATATATATATATATATATACAGCATATCAACATTTATAGTACCAATGTTAGACATATTTATTTCTATAATCATTATAATAACTCGGCAATGATCCCGCAACATATTTTATACTAAAATACTTTACTCTTAAGTACATGATTTAGGTTTACTTAATAATCGAAACAGTGGATTTTACATTAGATTTTTTTTTTTTGTAATTGTGTTGTCGTTTAATTGTCATTATAATTATTATAAAAAAAAAGGTGTCTAATATTGATACGGTCAATACAAATGTTGATAGATTAGATAACAATTTACAACAAAATTGTGGAATACATGCTTCTATAGCCATTAACTGAAATAAGTGATTTTGTTTTACATAAGATCTCACAGCTTTTTGTATTAAAAGAACTATGTTGCGAGACTTAATTTTTTTCCATTTAATGTTATTGATGGGATTTATATTTATTCATGTTCAGGGGCCATGGGAAGCTATAAGGAAAGTGTTCACCGCGAAAGAGCACAAGACCATGTCGATACACGACAAGAGCGACTTGTTCTTCTACGACTACAGCCTCGCGCCGCTCTTCGTGCAAGAGAACTACCTGCAGGTGGCACCAGATTGCCCCGTGTAAGCTTATAATATATAATATACGTTATTACTCAGACTACAGTTTGGTCCATTTTGTTAGTAACAGTTTTCTTACAAACTATGTTAGTGAAAAAGAAAAGCAAATTAATTAAAGCAGTTCACTCAGATGTGAGCCAGCCGACTAGATCAGCATCTGAATGAAATGCCCAATTATAGGCGAGTTATATTTCTCTATTACTTTTAGAATGCTGTTGGTGCTTGTCCTAACTTTGTGTAGCAATGATGCAGTTCTCTTTCTCCTTATATCTCCTCTAGCAAACATGCTAGAAGCGCTACAAAAGCGAAGTAGCCCCAACAGCACTTTGAAACTATTATTATACTGTGTATGTATACTGCTTATGAATGATTATAACTTACATTTGTGTCTGTGAGTAATATCTGTTTGAACTTGATATTCACAAGTAACGGGTTATTATCTCAGTTATTTATTTGGCGCGTTGATATTTTAACGCTGGTGCAAGAATCATTAGCATGATACGACTTAACACAACTGGAAGGGTGGGGGGAGGGATTGTTAGTAATACGGATTACCAGTCCTATTCCTAGCAATAAACATACCTATTTGATTGACCTCCACACGGTCCTGCCTGGAAACCATTGTGCTTAATTCCAGTGCTTAGCCCACTGCCGTTCGTGACTTCTATGTACAATTTTGTAATATTTTTAGATGCTTTTTATCATACTTCAATATAATGATGGCGTAACAGGCCATATCGGCTGGAAAGGGATTGTTAGCAATGGAGTTTGACAGCCCCATTGCTAGCAATATGCCCTATTAAGTTGACCTCCACGTGGTTCCTCCTGGTAACCATCGTAAACAATTCTTGTTCAATTCGTCACGATGGGCTAACTGACCTGCTTCATCCTCACCTATTATCCTTCACTGGTGCCCCGCCGGTATATACCAATAGCGCGGGTGGAGTTACCATTCCATTATCACCCATAAAAAATAACAGGCCATATCAGGCATGCTTCCTCATCGTTATATTAGACAGATTTCTCTACAAATTTTAATATTTTGTTATTAGGAACCAAGTACTGGATCGATTGAGTCAAGCAGCGGACAGTATTAGTCGAGGCGACTTGGTAGACGCGAGGATACGCCGCGCCCAGGCCTGGTCGCTACTCCCAATGCAGGTATATTAAAACATTACAGTGTCTTAGTTCATTGATCTATCTAGTAAAAATCGTGAATTCAAATCTCATCAACTTCAGAAATTGTTGTGTCAATTAACTAACTTTCTGGTGATGTAAAATATCGAAACAAAATTGATTCGAATATTATAAATATATGATACGCTTGCCCCCCCCTGAATATAAATATAATATAGAATCCAATGTAGGGATTATGTTTCAATTTGAATTGCTCGACAAAATATGCGCTTATTTGCCATTCTAAGTCATATAAAAAACTATAATTGCATCTGGCTATTCTATTTATTCATTCATAGTAGAGATGGGTAATGTATATAATGCAATATCTATATATTGTAGTTACAATATATGTATAATAGTCTATTAAAGATTTTTTTTATACTACTTAGAATGGCAAACAAGCTGACGGCCCGCCTGATGAAAAGTGGTAACCGTCGCCTATAGATATGAGCAGTATCGTGGACAATAGAGTATACTGATTCCCCCATGGTACTCTCCCATGCATTGCCATTCCTGAGAACTCAGGTATTATTCCTCTGTACCCAGTAAATTCACGCCATATCCCACCCTTTAAACCGAAACACAGCCATGCAAACACAGCTGCTTCACGGTTGAAACACGAATGGGATAGAGGTATCCAAGCAATCGACTTTTGTACAAAGTCTCCCTCTGGTAAAATATGAATACTATACCATACGAATACATTAAGTCTCCATTATCCAATATATAATATCGAAATAAGGAACCCGATCGAAATTATTACAGATATCCAACTGGTGTAGCGATATTGAAATAGGTTATGTCCAAAAGGAACCCAATATATAGATATCAGAGCGGTATCGATGTTACCTATCCCTAATTGATAGCCGGGAATGTTTTTACTATTATTTCTAAGATAGACCCGTGCGTATGCCCATTATTAGATAAAAGAGGATTAAGGATCCGTTAGTAATAAAGAGATTAATTATATATCTTATTAATTTTATTTTATAATAATTTATTTATTTGCTCGAAATGTGGTAATAATAATGGTCTTAAATATTCTATATATACGATCTACACATTTCGCCTTATCTAAAGGCATGCAAATTTAGTATTATAATTTAGTGGCTATCGTGTATTAATAGCCTAGTAGGAGTCAATCCATGAATATTGGCAGCCGCACACATACTAATGGTAGCAGAACTAAACAAATACAAATACAAACTAAACAAAAACAAATACATAACAAGTAAAAAACATAACAAATGGCATACAATACAACTGAATTACACATTTACAATAAATAGTAATAAAGTGTATCGATCATGTTGCTAGCTATTTAAAAAAAAATACCATAATCCAGTCGAACTCTGTATGGTTCCGTTTGGGAATCATAGTAGTAAATTCCTGTTGGGTATATAACGCTTAGTCAATTGCTCTGACTTCATCCTCGCCTTTCACTTTTTATTGGCGCCTCGCCAATATATAATGATAAAACAAGCGGGGCTACAATTCCATTTTCATCACATACATTTTTTATCACTACTAGTTTTTTTTTTTTTTTGATGGGTGCAAATGGTATGGTAACCCCTAAGGCCTGCGTTAACGGAATACGCTGGCGGAGCACCAGTGAAGGATGTTAGATGAGAATGAAAACAGACCAGTTAGCCCATCATGATGAATTCATCAGGAATTAACCATGATAGTTGACAGGGAGAACCGCGAGGAGGTCGACCTGGTTGGGTATATTGCTAGCAATGGGATTCTCAGTCTCCATTACTAACAATCCCTTTCCCCCATCACGATTAGTTAGTGAATTATTATGACAATCATGTGTATTACATTCCTTCAGGCAATGTACAGTTCTGTGATTCCGGGACATGCGATGGCGGGCCACGTGAACGGTCAGATCCAGTTCCCCGGCTGGCTCGGCAAGAACTCACGCGCCACCAAAATGCAACGCCTCTGTCAGGAGATACATGCGCATACGAGGCTCAGGTGAGTGGTTCTTTTATTCCACTGCGAAAGGAAAGAATGGAATTAGGATAAAGTCTTTTGGACAAAGATCCAAACCTACAAACAGATATGTAGACAACAGTTTTATTATTAATTACTAGCTTAGTTGTAGAGATCCTGGCATGGTATAGGCCACCCCTTCTTTTCTTATGGGTGTCGTAAGAGACGACTAAGGGAACTTATGGTGGAGGGATGGGCGGCAGTGTCCCTCTTAAAAGATCACCAAAAGCCAAACTGCTGTCGCTAATCCGCCTACCAAGCATGGCAATTACTGGCAAAACCTCTCTTATGAGGGAGGCTATGTCCAGCAGTGGACAGTTAATAGCTGATACAACAACTAGCTTTTACACGTGACTTCGTCCGTGTGACCGAGAAATTTTCATTAACTGGGATAAAAAGTAGCCTATAATCTCCATCCCATATAGTACCTATATACGAAATTTCATAGTCATTGATTAATGTGCTAACAGCTAACAAACAAATTCACTTTTATAATAAGGATTGTACTATTGTATATAAATAAAACTCAATTGCAGAACGTATGTAAGCGTGTCACTTCAGAACGACCATCTATTTCGCACATTTCTTTTGTGTTATTTGTAATGGTCCGGCAATGTTCGAAAAATCGTACGCAAAAAGTACACACGTACGTAACCGGGGCAGGCAGATAGTATTATTATAAATGTATAAAATGTTTGAATCTTTCCTACTCTTCTACCATGTTCACGGCTGAACAGATTTGTAAAAAAATTGGCACTCTGATTATAACCTACACTGATACTTGAGATACTTCTTATCCAAATTCTGATTGATAAAATGAGATATGTATAGTTAAAATAAATATCTTCTTTACATTCCTATTCTTATCTACGGTCTGTTCCAGAATATATATTTCAAGATCAAAATAATATCTATAAATGTTTTTTAAACATTGAACTTTATTCCACAGCACGTCTGGTTCAAAATCATCAATCTTCCTCGACTACTGCACTCACCTTCGCGACGCTGTGGTTATGCCACTTATCAAAGAGAAAAGCGAAGGCATAGAAAAGTCACTAGAGGTGCTCGAATCGTACCACCTCCTTAGAGAAGATCTGGATTCGTTGACGGAACTCTCGCTGTGGCCCGGACAGAAGGACCCTATGGCTTTAATTGACTCTAAGGTACGTACCTAGTAAACTTTACTACGTATTTTTCCCAATTTTTTTACGTGTTTTCTTTATTTAATTACTTTTTTTTTATCTCACCATCATGGCAAAATTTGATAAGATATTGAGATGCTTTCTTAAAAGGGAGATTGGCGAAACCTTAAATAGTAAAAATCTCCCAGATCTCATAATTTAAAAACTGATATTTTTTAACAAATTCTTATTTAAATTATTGTCATTCATAATCGAATATAATATGCACTAATACCCATATAACATACGCAGATTAACTGGCAAAGTCTTTCTCTTGCAGAATTTATGTAAACAAAATCCCATCTTTCTTACAAGCAGTATATCTTCTTTTTCCATCATGCTAACAGGTAAAAGCGGCTATGACACGTACGTACAATAAGAATGCAGCGGCACTCCCATACGCACCGGGCAGCATCAAGCACCGGCGAGGTCGCGAGACTGAAGACGGCGACGAGGACGACGGGCTGCCTGAGGACGAGGCTGAAGACAGTGACCCGGAGAATGATGCTCTTATTAAGGCGAGTTGTTATTATAATATGTTTTCAACTTTCCCCTAGAGACTACAGTATGGAGTTCTTCCCAGGGTATACTAAGGTTTCTTCAGGGTGGGCAACGCATACGTGACATCTCTGTTTTTGCAGGCGTCCATAGGTTACAGTGACCGTTTATCATCAGACAGGCTGTATGCTTGTTTGCCACCTTTGTGGTAAAAGAAAAGCTATAATTTTTAGTTAAAGGGATTGGTCAATTGTTTGATTTTATTTTCAAAATTATTTTATCTATAGAAAGCTGTATTAACAGATTAACTGGGCTGTATTTTATTTTAAAAAAAGAATAGGGATATTCTAGCCATTTACCTGTGCAAAATGGAGCGAGTCTCCAGTATCTTAATTAAATTCACAATCTTTTGATGTCAGGATTCTAAATCGTGACACCCTCTAGTGTATTATAATTTAATCCAATTACTCTTCTTACAGAAAAAGAAAAAAGAATCAGAAAAAGGTAATAAAGAAAAAGCAGGTTCAAGTAAAGAGAAATCAAATGCTGCTAAAGAAAAACCTAGTACTAGCAAGAGAAAGAAGAAATAATGCCCATGCCAGTTTTATTTTATTTCTGATACTTATAATATTGTCAGTTGAAACTGATAATTGTGGAAACAATTATGTCTGTTTTAGTATTAAAAAATTTGATGGCATGTGTTGTTTTTTTGTCCACCGACTTAAAAAAGGAAGTTTGGTTGTATTTCTTTTTACCTCTAACTCCGTCAGTTATAGTTATTTGGAAAGTTCTTTTTTATCTGAAAAAATATACTTACAGATTGGTCCTAATTTTATGATTTTTTTTTATATATCTTAGAATGTCCAACAAGCTGACGGCCCACCTGATGGAAAGTGGTAACCGTCGCCTATAGACACGAGCAGTACCATGGACATAACAGAGTATACTGTTTCGCCCATGATAACCCCCGATGTGTTGCCATTCCTGAGGACTCAGGTGTTATTCCTCTGCACCCTGTAAATTCACACCATATCCCACCCTTCAAACTGAAATACAGCCATGCAAACACAACTGCTTTACGGTTAAAACACGAATGGGACAGAGGTACCCAATCAAACGACTTTTGTAGAAAGTCTCTCTCTGATTCAGTAGTTTAGTTTTTAAATCAAAATAACTAATTTTGCCACAATTGAAGTTTTTTTTTTGTGGAACAATTTTTTTAAGTTTTACAGTAGATATATACATTGTACATATTTTAAAATGAATGAATGAATAGGATCCTGAGTTTGATTTTTGATTATACTTGATACAGTCAAGTCAGTCAGTTTAAATTCAATGAATGAAGAATTAATGTTTATTTTCTCTTACATTGATTAAACATAAAGCAAAGAATACAGCAAGAAAAATAGATACAAATGATGTATACAGGAGCCCAAACTAGGTTTTCCTGTGCTATGAGTATTCTGGTATCCTTCTCTCAGCAAATAATTCTATAAGTTGAAGGAACAGTTATGAAATTAATTAGTAAAATAGCATTGGTTTCTATGGATCCAAAAAATAAACAAATGACGTCTAAAAACTACCTATTTCAAAAAATATGTCACTGCTAGATCGCACAGGGTTTCATCAACAAACAGTAGATCTTGGGTCTAGTCAAATTGGCCACCCCTGACATGGGTTTATCATTATTGTCTATACATATTTATAAATCACAACTATATTCTGTAAAATAAAATATGTAAAAACGAAATTAATGAATATCAAAAGTAAGACAATACATTAAAAAACTGATATCAATAAGAGCAAGTTTTATTACATAATACACACTAGTGATTTACTAACATCAAAACAAATATAATTTAGTCCTTTCGAATCTTTTGCACTCTTGGATCGTCGGGTCTCATTATAACGTAGGTCATCTTGTACCTTCTATTATCTCCATCATTCTTTGTGTAATTGTAACATCCTATTGTGGCCAAACCTATACCAACGAAAGCTAGGCCTGTTGTAGCAAGAATTTCAGGAATTTCATTCCATCCTTGTTTGAGAAGTTGGCCGATCGTTACTCTTGACGCTGGCGCAGCCATGGGTTATTACTAATTTGTGGTAATTGGTAACTAAATATTCTTTTATAATTATAAAATTGATGTATTTCCGTATAAAATGGAATACAAATTACAAATCTGTCAAACAATGTCAGTATGTTTTTTTTTTTTTTTTTAATACGTTTGTTCCGTTTGGAACAGGCTAAGGTCGGAGACCATGCTGCCTAGTCTTCAAAAAGATAATTTGTCTGGAATTTTATTTTTCTAATGTCGCTTCAATTATTGTCATAATCTTCAATATTTCATTTGTCAAATCCGGTAAGTACATTTTCATAAATATCTTTTCTTGAGTTTTCTTAAACCAGTGGATTTATCAAATTAAAAATAAATAATTATAAAAAATCATTGTCTTGCAATTCAATAAAAGTATTCTTATAGCTCCTTGAATGTTGTAGTAATATAAGTGAAAATAGCTTTGAAACAAGAAGGAAATCTTAAGAGAAGCGGGATTGAGTGCGGGATATTTTCGGGTTTTTTGAAGATAATCCTAAGTTCGTCAAACATAATGTGTCTTTGAATGACAAATTCAGAGCAATCAAAAAAAAAGGTGATGTAGAGATTGGGCTGTATTTGAGTTACACCATGTGCATGATGGGGAAGCGATCATGCCCATTCGGTGCAGGTGTTCGTTGAAATGTCCGTGGCCGATTCGTAATCTACAAATATTGGTGTAAAATTTTCTGTTTGTGTCCTTTCCTTTGCAGAACCACGGTTTTCCAATACGCCAATTAATTTTGCGGTACCATTTGCCTTTAGTCTGTAATATTTGAGTCCAATGCTCCTCCCATTTAGTTGTAACGATTTTATGTATTCCAATACTACAATCTGAGTAACAAAGGGGTAAGTCTTGAACACGAGCAGCACTTGAATTAATAATTTTAGCCAAAGTGTCTACTTGTTCATTCCCAAACACTCCAATATGTGAAGGGGTCCAGATGAAGATAATATCTTTTCCATATATAGTACAGAGATGATAATATTTATTACGAATTTCTTGAATTAAGTAGTTTGATGATGAAATGAATGTGTTATTTTTTAATGCCATAAGAACACTCATACTATCTGTAATTATAATCCATTTCGAATATAGTACCTGTTTTTCTATGTATTCTAATGCTAAAAATATAGCTTTTGCTTCTGCTGTGTAAATACTAGCCAAAGTTGAAATTTTATAACCGTGACCAAATCTATTTGACAAATCGTAAAAAGCCACTGAAGTGCTAAGTGCATTTTTGGAACCATCTGTATATATCTGCCTGTAGTCAATAAATTCTGATAAAGTCTCATACATATCGTGCTTTTCTTTTATGTCTTTACGTATAACATTTTTGATCTTACAGAACTTACTCTCATAAAGGCCATTATAACAAGGAAGTATCTTACTACTATAGATGTTATATTCATCTCGTAAATTCAAATCATTGACAATAGTTTTATTCAAAAACATAGAAATGGGGCAATTTAATAATTTGAGTATGAGTGGGTTATTGGAAACTGAAAAAACTTTGAAGAGAAATTTGAGTTTTAGGTATTCGAAACGAAGAAGGATAGGAGGCAAATTACATTCTACTTGCATTGAGATAATTGGAGAAGTATACATAGCACCTAAAATAAGTCTTAAATTCATATTTTGAATTTTTTCGAGTTTTTCTACTAATTTATGTTCTGAGGCATAACAAAAGAAAGCGTAATCAAAATTACTTCTAACAAGAGATTTGTAAAGTAAAAGGATAATTTTAGGATCAGCTCCCCAGTTACGACCAATTACAGATCTTATTATATTAGTGGCTCTTAAAGCACGATCTACTAAGCAATCAACGTATAGATCCCATTTTAAATTTTGATGAAAAATTACCCCCAGAAATTTAACGCTACAGTCTGTTGGAAGAGTTTGATTATTATATATAATATTCATTAATGGAACATATTTATGAACTTGATGAAAAACAACTACTTTACTTTTGGTTAAACTAATATCGAGGGAAAGAAGAGAAAAATATTTCTCAAGTCTTTTTAATGACTCATTTAACATTAATTGCATATCAATAATATTCTTTCCTTTTATATAAATTAATAAATCATCGGCAAATTGCAAGTTGTTCACACTGTTTCCTAAAATTGAATTAAGTTTATAGATATATAAAATATATAGTAGCGGGCTTAGAATACCACCTTGACATACTCCTTTAGAGCTTAACCTAGGTCCTATTAATTTACTATTTACTTTAACATACACTTCTCTATTACTAAGAAAATTATAAATCCATTCGATAAGTTTCATTGGAAGAAATGAGGATAAAATCGAAGATAGAACTGTTAAATTTACATTGTTAAAAGCTCCTACGACATCTAAAAAAACAGATAGAACATATTCATCGTTATTCAAAGCAGTACTAAGGTCGACATAGAAGTTCGCTAAACTTTCGCGCGCTGAATATCCACGGCGAAAACCAAATTGATTCGATGGTAATATACTATTACTTTCAATAAAGAACTCTAAACGCTGTTTAATTAATTGTTCGAATAATTTGCCTGCACAGGACGTCAATGTTATAGGTCTATAGGAGTCGAAATTTGTAGGATCTTTACCGGGTTTAATTACTGGAATCAAACAATCCATTTTCCATTCTGGTGGGATAATACAGTCCTTCCATAAATCGTTAAAAATTTGTAAGAGTTTAGTAAGGTTTATTTTATTCAGCAATCGAAACATATTGTATGTTAAGCGATCAAGGCCACTAGCTGTATCTTTTCTAGATTTTACTGCACTGGATATTTCATCAATTGAGAATGGGTCAGTGAGAAATTTTGGGCATGAATTAACAGAATTAAACTGTTTGTCATCAAAAGGTGAGTGTACAAAATCAGGAGTATATTTGCGTAAAAAATCATTGACCCATGATATATCTTTAAAATGATTTTGACGATGTTTTGAATTTAGTTTTCTCATATTTTGCCAAACAGTGGAAATTGGTGTTAATCTATAAAATTTGGAACAAAATTCCTGCCACCCCTGTTGTCTTACTTGCTTAATTACTAACTTTTTAACAGCTTGAACTCTTTTAAAATTTATGTAATTATCGAGAGTTGGATTTTGTTTAAACCTAAGGTAAGCCGCTTTACTATCATTGACAGCTGTCGCACACCTGTTATTCCACCAAGGTACTGCAATATGTTTGTGCCTCTTTGAAGTATTTGCACCGCTATTTGATAAGTTCCTACGTGGAACGGAACGTTCCACAGCTGTCAAAATAATTTTACAGAACCTATTGTAATTGTTTAAGGGTTCATTGACATCATACTCGAAATCCAAAAGTAATCGATTAACAGTTTCAGAATAAAGATCCCAATTAACGAGACGTAGGTTTATACGATTTAACAAAAGTTTATTAACTTCATCTATAGGAGCATGTTGTTCACCTGACGGAGTTGATGAAGAGTTCTTTGTGTTTATTTTAGTAAAAGTCGGCAGGTGATAACTTCCTAACGGATCATCATGAACCGACCACTCGCATTTTAATGATATGGATGGGGATACCATAGTTAAATCAAGGCCATTGGGTCTCCAAATATGAGAGCCAACAGTAGTAACTTGCTTATCATTTAATAGTACCAAATTACATTCATCTAAACAATCAAGAATGTCTTTACCTCTTGTATTAGTGGAGGTACAACCCCACATAGTATGATGTGCATTTAAATCTCCAGATATGATAGTGGGTTTAGGAAGAGACTCCAAAAAGAACTTAAATTTGGCTTTAGTAAAACTAGGTGTACTATTGGTAGGACAGTAAATACTGGCAACTGAATACCAAGAATTATTAACTTCAATACTAATAGCTATAGTTTGCAAAGAATTGTCGAAAAAAGAGTGAAGTTTTTTATATCTAATACTATTATGTATAATAATCGCTACTCCATTGTGGTTATTACCACAATCATTTCGTTCTATACAATAATCTTTAATTTTTAATTTGTAATGTGGTTTTAGCCAAGTTTCTGAGATGAGAGCAATGTGAATATGATGTTCATTTAAAAATTGTGTAAAAATATGTCGATTGCTCAGTAGGCTCTGAGCGTTCCACTGTATGATAGTTAATTGGTCTCGATTGAATTTTGTGAAATAGGTCTATTACCAAAAGTATCATATAACACATTCAAAACACTTTTAGTGTTAATAGATGTGTTCTTTGTGTTATGTAGTGAAATAAGTTTGATTATGCTTTCTATTAAAAGTGATAAACTCTTGTTATCAGAATTTAGAATTGAAATTAGGTCTACATTTTTTTTAGGTTTGTTACCCAGTTTAGGAAATATTTCAGTGCTAAGTATATCTCCAAAAGAAGCAGGTCTGAATTTAGATCTATTTTCAGCAATTTTCTTTTGTTTAACAGGGCATTGCGGTGATACACTTGTGTGATTTCCATTGCAGTGTACACAAATAGCGTTTTCCATTCCAGTTGTACAAGTTTTATAATTATGCTCACCTTTGCAGATGCTGCAACGCTCAGAATTCTTACAGAATTTAGCTAAATGTCCATACCTCAAGCACCGGTAGCATTGTTTAACTGGTGGTATATATGGAGTGACATTGTGGCGCCAACCTCCAATATCCAGATATTCAGGTAATACAGATGCAGCAAAAGTAATTGTCACGGTTAGAGTTGGCTGTAACACATATCCATGAGTCAAGGTATTTTTTCTTAAAATTCTTTTAATAGCAATAATTTTCTTAGAACTCGATATCATAGTATATATTTTTTTATTAGATATATTTGTAGGTACATTTCTAATAACGCCTGTAACTTCTGTTGAAGAAGCAGGAATACTGGCCTTAAAATGGTAGTCATTTAAAAAAGTTTTATTATTTAAAAAAGCATTGGCTAAGTCTGGCTTTTGAAAGTATACTCCGATTTTGAATTTATTTATAGATCTAAGATAAGTTACCCCTTTATTAAATCGTTTTAAACAGGAGGAGAGTGAGAGCAAGTCTCTGGATCCAATGGTTTTCTGACTATCTGAGGATTCTACAAAGACAACAAATTCTGTCCCAGGGGATTCCTCGGGATATCTTCTAATATAATCTGTGACGTAGTAAGGTTTATACTTATCGGCCTTATCAATTTCAGATTCTGAGTCAGTAGAAGTATCTTCCGAATATATATCCTTGTCATTACAAGGTTCATGGTCTACATCACCTGAATCGTCATCTTTTTTTTTCCTTTTTCTACAACTGCGCTTCCCCATGAATGCTAATTATATTACTGTCGCTGAATTTAGTGAAAATATAATATTTTATTCAATAATAAGAATTGATAGAGATAGTTTTAATAAATTAATAAAAAAAATTTAAAAAACCCGCTTGTTCTTATTCGAGTTTCCCGCCTTTTTCCGCTGACATTTGACTAATATCTGTCACCTGACTGACCGCGGTGACCCTAAGAATAAGAATTACATAGAAGGAGTGCTAAAATTGTCATATGTCATAGCAGGCTATAAAAAATGTTATATGGCTGTATAACCCTACCAAATTCAGATACAACCTGCTTGCATACTTTCTACATAAACTGTATTACTAGAAGGAGGCAACCATATGATTTACAGTTTTTATTTTATTATTCCTTCTATGTAATTCCTTGTTCTTAGTGGTGACCGTAATAATGGCATAGACTATCAATATAGTATATATAAGATAAGTAAAATACAGATTTTCTAATAGATAAATATGAAATAGTGAAACCATCTACGCTATTAATATACACTGGCGGGGCACCAGTGAATGATGATAGGTGAGAATGCCCAAAATGAAAATCGTGCGCAAGCATTGCTAATAAACCAATAACTATAATTTTGTTAATATTTTAAAAACCTCGACACAAAAAAAACCTATAAGCTGATTACTAATGCTGATGCTGCTGATTGAAATACCTTAATAATTTCTCATATATTGTGGCTAAGAACCATTTCGATCACGTAAATTTTGAAACAATAAATAACTGCATCAGTCCATTGGTTTAGGAGCTATAACACCACAGACAGACACGTCAAAGTTATAACACCCCTCTTTTTGCGTCGGGAGTTAATTAGTCTAATAACATTATAAATAAGCTTACTCATGCATAATCAAGACTTTTATTGCCACTATGTTATTTTCACTGGAAGAAATTTTTTTTAAAGATAAGTTCACCTTTGCTCAATTGTTTTTAATTGTTATTATTACTATATTTCTAAATGCAATAAAAAATATATAATAATAAAAACTAAAGCAATTCAATCAATCAATCAATCTTTGATTCAATCATAAATTATAACAGGCATGGCACCGACCAAGAATCTTTAAATTAATAATAATACAATAATTATTTATTCGAACTTAATTAGTTCAAGATTATTAAAAGTTTAACATTTGTACTGTGTATAAACTGGATTTTTCAATCGACATGCTCTTGGATTATTGGGACGTACAATCATATATACTGATTTATACTCTCTGTTATCTCCATCATTTTGTATATATCTTCGACATCCGAGAATAGCTAGACCTATTCCTACGAATGCCAGACCTGTAGCTCCTACTATTTCTGGAATTTCCCAACAGGCTTTTTGGAATAGACCAATTATTGTATTTCCAAATCTAACTTGATGACCAATCTCTTTAGGCTCCGGCGTCATTCTGAAAAAAAAATTTGATTTACTTTCTTTCTAGAGTTTTTCGCTGGTAGGTTTTCTTATAATCTTCTTTAAATAATAATTATGTTACAACTTAAGTTTAAATTTAGTAAAAACTAAATTAATTAAGTCAAGCGAAAATATGAACTTTTAATTTTATTGTCAATTGCCCACAACATTAGTTGTCATTGATAAATAATGACAAATATTTCTTACTAACCAGGATGCCTGCAAAGCTGAAGTTTGTATATGATACGAACAAACCTCAAACTTTTTGCAAACAAGTAATGTATACATGCCGGAGACGTATCAATGTAATGTAACATAAAATGTATCATTTTACCTTTGATTGTATGTTCGCTACAAACGTAAACACCGCACATGCAAACCGCGCAATCTACTGTAATCATGACCCGTTGTCATCCTTGTGATTTTCATATGTTTCCACGCACCGACAGTTTGTCCTATATCATATTCTCTTCATGTACTAACACATCTCTAAATCGAATCAACCGTCCACAATAACGTGCGGCGCTTACCTTTGTTTGTCTAAGAAACAAATAAAGCACCGATCGCTTTGCGCGCAATTTGCAATGTCCGTTACGTGCATGTGAAATGCATAATTCACTCGCGAAAGGCATCCAGGCTCTGAGAAATTGTTACAAAGTAACTTTTCATTTTAGATTGCAATTATATGTACGTCATTGTGTTACAGTGCATCGATCAGGGTTCTATTTTACAAAGTTTATTAGTCTAATAAATATTAGTTAATGGATTATTATTAATACTAGTTTATTAATATACATTTATCAAAGCTACGTTTGTAAATTTATAGTTATTATTTAAAAATATATTATCAATTTATTATTTAAATAATCTGTTTAGTTATACTTATTACTTATAGGGTAGTATACACGATTATAACTTATTTATTAATTATAATGCTTGTGAAAATGATGAAGCAATTTAATCTCTATGACTGATATATGTTCTCATGATTCTCATGTCCTATGTAGAATGGATTCTATGTGCATATTTGTATGTCATAGATTAAGAAAAATGTAATAGCTAATAATTAATAGTTGACATTTACATTGGCATTAATACATACTGACAGAAAAAGTTCATTGAATTTCACCGAAAAAAAGGCGGGAAACTCGAATAAGAACAAGCGGGTTTTTTAAATTTTTTTTTATTAATTTATTAAAACTATCTCTATCAATTCTTATTATTGAATAAAATATTATATTTTCACTAAATTCAGCGACAGTAATATAATTAGCATTCATGGGGAAGCGCAGTTGTAGAAAAAGGAAAAAAAAAGATGACGATTCAGGTGATGTAGACCATGAACCTTGTAATGACAAGGATATATATTCGGAAGATACTTCTACTGACTCAGAATCTGAAATTGATAAGGCCGATAAGTATAAACCTTACTACGTCACAGATTATATTAGAAGATATCCCGAGGAATCCCCTGGGACAGAATTTGTTGTCTTTGTAGAATCCTCAGATAGTCAGAAAACCATTGGATCCAGAGACTTGCTCTCACTCTCCTCCTGTTTAAAACGATTTAATAAAGGGGTAACTTATCTTAGATCTATAAATAAATTCAAAATCGGAGTATACTTTCAAAAGCCAGACTTAGCCAATGCTTTTTTAAATAATAAAACTTTTTTAAATGACTACCATTTTAAGGCCAGTATTCCTGCTTCTTCAACAGAAGTTACAGGCGTTATTAGAAATGTACCTACAAATATATCTAATAAAAAAATATATACTATGATATCGAGTTCTAAGAAAATTATTGCTATTAAAAGAATTTTAAGAAAAAATACCTTGACTCATGGATATGTGTTACAGCCAACTCTAACCGTGACAATTACTTTTGCTGCATCTGTATTACCTGAATATCTGGATATTGGAGGTTGGCGCCACAATGTCACTCCATATATACCACCAGTTAAACAATGCTACCGGTGCTTGAGGTATGGACATTTAGCTAAATTCTGTAAGAATTCTGAGCGTTGCAGCATCTGCAAAGGTGAGCATAATTATAAAACTTGTACAACTGGAATGGAAAACGCTATTTGTGTACACTGCAATGGAAATCACACAAGTGTATCACCGCAATGCCCTGTTAAACAAAAGAAAATTGCTGAAAATAGATCTAAATTCAGACCTGCTTCTTTTGGAGATATACTTAGCACTGAAATATTTCCTAAACTGGGTAACAAACCTAAAAAAAATGTAGACCTAATTTCAATTCTAAATTCTGATAACAAGAGTTTATCACTTTTAATAGAAAGCATAATCAAACTTATTTCACTACATAACACAAAGAACACATCTATTAACACTAAAAGTGTTTTGAATGTGTTATATGATACTTTTGGTAATAGACCTATTTCACAAAATTCAATCGAGACCAATTAACTATCATACAGTGGAACGCTCAGAGCCTACTGAGCAATCGACATATTTTTACACAATTTTTAAATGAACATCATATTCACATTGCTCTCATCTCAGAAACTTGGCTAAAACCACATTACAAATTAAAAATTAAAGATTATTGTATAGAACGAAATGATTGTGGTAATAACCACAATGGAGTAGCGATTATTATACATAATAGTATTAGATATAAAAAACTTCACTCTTTTTTCGACAATTCTTTGCAAACTATAGCTATTAGTATTGAAGTTAATAATTCTTGGTATTCAGTTGCCAGTATTTACTGTCCTACCAATAGTACACCTAGTTTTACTAAAGCCAAATTTAAGTTCTTTTTGGAGTCTCTTCCTAAACCCACTATCATATCTGGAGATTTAAATGCACATCATACTATGTGGGGTTGTACCTCCACTAATACAAGAGGTAAAGACATTCTTGATTGTTTAGATGAATGTAATTTGGTACTATTAAATGATAAGCAAGTTACTACTGTTGGCTCTCATATTTGGAGACCCAATGGCCTTGATTTAACTATGGTATCCCCATCCATATCATTAAAATGCGAGTGGTCGGTTCATGATGATCCGTTAGGAAGTTATCACCTGCCGACTTTTACTAAAATAAACACAAAGAACTCTTCATCAACTCCGTCAGGTGAACAACATGCTCCTATAGATGAAGTTAATAAACTTTTGTTAAATCGTATAAACCTACGTCTCGTTAATTGGGATCTTTATTCTGAAACTGTTAATCGATTACTTTTGGATTTCGAGTATGATGTCAATGAACCCTTAAACAATTACAATAGGTTCTGTAAAATTATTTTGACAGCTGTGGAACGTTCCGTTCCACGTAGGAACTTATCAAATAGCGGTGCAAATACTTCAAAGAGGCACAAACATATTGCAGTACCTTGGTGGAATAACAGGTGTGCGACAGCTGTCAATGATAGTAAAGCGGCTTACCTTAGGTTTAAACAAAATCCAACTCTCGATAATTACATAAATTTTAAAAGAGTTCAAGCTGTTAAAAAGTTAGTAATTAAGCAAGTAAGACAACAGGGGTGGCAGGAATTTTGTTCCAAATTTAATAGATTAACACCAATTTCCACTGTTTGGCAAAATATGAGAAAACTAAATTCAAAACATCGTCAAAATCATTTTAAAGATATATCATGGGTCAATGATTTTTTACGCAAATATACTCCTGATTTTGTACACTCACCTTTTGATGACAAACAGTTTAATTCTGTTAATTCATGCCCAAAATTTCTCACTGACCCATTCTCAATTGATGAAATATCCAGTGCAGTAAAATCTAGAAAAGATACAGCTAGTGGCCTTGATCGCTTAACATACAATATGTTTCGATTGCTGAATAAAATAAACCTTACTAAACTCTTACAAATTTTTAACGATTTATGGAAGGACTGTATTATCCCACCAGAATGGAAAATGGATTGTTTGATTCCAGTAATTAAACCCGGTAAAGATCCTACAAATTTCGACTCCTATAGACCTATAACATTGACGTCCTGTGCAGGCAAATTATTCGAACAATTAATTAAACAGCGTTTAGAGTTCTTTATTGAAAGTAATAGTATATTACCATCGAATCAATTTGGTTTTCGCCGTGGATATTCAGCGCGCGAAAGTTTAGCGAACTTCTATGTCGACCTTAGTACTGCTTTGAATAACGATGAATATGTTCTATCTGTTTTTTTAGATGTCGTAGGAGCTTTTAACAATGTAAATTTAACAGTTCTATCTTCGATTTTATCCTCATTTCTTCCAATGAAACTTATCGAATGGATTTATAATTTTCTTAGTAATAGAGAAGTGTATGTTAAAGTAAATAGTAAATTAATAGGACCTAGGTTAAGCTCTAAAGGAGTATGTCAAGGTGGTATTCTAAGCCCGCTACTATATATTTTATATATCTATAAACTTAATTCAATTTTAGGAAACAGTGTGAACAACTTGCAATTTGCCGATGATTTATTAATTTATATAAAAGGAAAGAATATTATTGATATGCAATTAATGTTAAATGAGTCATTAAAAAGACTTGAGAAATATTTTTCTCTTCTTTCCCTCGATATTAGTTTAACCAAAAGTAAAGTAGTTGTTTTTCATCAAGTTCATAAATATGTTCCATTAATGAATATTATATATAATAATCAAACTCTTCCAACAGACTGTAGCGTTAAATTTCTGGGGGTAATTTTTCATCAAAATTTAAAATGGGATCTATACGTTGATTGCTTAGTAGATCGTGCTTTAAGAGCCACTAATATAATAAGATCTGTAATTGGTCGTAACTGGGGAGCTGATCCTAAAATTATCCTTTTACTTTACAAATCTCTTGTTAGAAGTAATTTTGATTACGCTTTCTTTTGTTATGCCTCAGAACATAAATTAGTAGAAAAACTCGAAAAAATTCAAAATATGAATTTAAGACTTATTTTAGGTGCTATGTATACTTCTCCAATTATCTCAATGCAAGTAGAATGTAATTTGCCTCCTATCCTTCTTCGTTTCGAATACCTAAAACTCAAATTTCTCTTCAAAGTTTTTTCAGTTTCCAATAACCCACTCATACTCAAATTATTAAATTGCCCCATTTCTATGTTTTTGAATAAAACTATTGTCAATGATTTGAATTTACGAGATGAATATAACATCTATAGTAGTAAGATACTTCCTTGTTATAATGGCCTTTATGAGAGTAAGTTCTGTAAGATCAAAAATGTTATACGTAAAGACATAAAAGAAAAGCACGATATGTATGAGACTTTATCAGAATTTATTGACTACAGGCAGATATATACAGATGGTTCCAAAAATGCACTTAGCACTTCAGTGGCTTTTTACGATTTGTCAAATAGATTTGGTCACGGTTATAAAATTTCAACTTTGGCTAGTATTTACACAGCAGAAGCAAAAGCTATATTTTTAGCATTAGAATACATAGAAAAACAGGTACTATATTCGAAATGGATTATAATTACAGATAGTATGAGTGTTCTTATGGCATTAAAAAATAACACATTCATTTCATCATCAAACTACTTAATTCAAGAAATTCGTAATAAATATTATCATCTCTGTACTATATATGGAAAAGATATTATCTTCATCTGGACCCCTTCACATATTGGAGTGTTTGGGAATGAACAAGTAGACACTTTGGCTAAAATTATTAATTCAAGTGCTGCTCGTGTTCAAGACTTACCCCTTTGTTACTCAGATTGTAGTATTGGAATACATAAAATCGTTACAACTAAATGGGAGGAGCATTGGACTCAAATATTACAGACTAAAGGCAAATGGTACCGCAAAATTAATTGGCGTATTGGAAAACCGTGGTTCTGCAAAGGAAAGGACACAAACAGAAAATTTTACACCAATATTTGTAGATTACGAATCGGCCACGGACATTTCAACGAACACCTGCACCGAATGGGCATGATCGCTTCCCCATCATGCACATGGTGTAACTCAAATACAGCCCAATCTCTACATCACCTTTTTTTTTTGATTGCTCTGAATTTGTCATTCAAAGACACATTATGTTTGACGAACTTAGGATTATCTTCAAAAAACCCGAAAATATCCCGCACTCAATCCCGCTTCTCTTAAGATTTCCTTCTTGTTTCAAAGCTATTTTCACTTATATTACTACAACATTCAAGGAGCTATAAGAATACTTTTATTGAATTGCAAGACAATGATTTTTTATAATTATTTATTTTTAATTTGATAAATCCACTGGTTTAAGAAAACTCAAGAAAAGATATTTATGAAAATGTACTTACCGGATTTGACAAATGAAATATTGAAGATTATGACAATAATTGAAGCGACATTAGAAAAATAAAATTCCAGACAAATTATCTTTTTGAAGACTAGGCAGCATGGTCTCCGACCTTAGCCTGTTCCAAACGGAACAAACGTACTAAAAAAAAAAAAAATCAAGTGTCAGCTGTATTTGACGTTTATGACATTCACTTGTTTTCCGTAAGGTTATTAAAGTCATTTATTTCTGTCAACATTAATCAAAAATTCTTTACTCTTTGAGCACTTCATTCAAATATCACATACTTATTTATCTTTTGCGATAATAAAAACAATAATATTGTATTATTAATATTTAGGAATTATTTGTAAGTTTTATTATTTTACGCATACAGCGTATACAACACGACGTATTTTTTGTTAGTGTACAACTATAAAGAAAAATGGGTTCTCGTTTCCAAGTCGTAGAACAGGGGCCGCCAATTGAAGTTTTCCAATTAAACAGGCTGTTTACTGAGGATTCGCATCAGAATAAAGTGAATTTGACTGTTGGCGGTAAGTTTTATATTAAATAAAACAGTGAAAAAACAAGTATTATTTTAATAATTTTGTTATACTCTTAGAATTTTATATTTGTTGTCCTTTAATTTGTTTATTCAAGACTTAGTCACTTTTCACTTATCAAGGTCAATATTTATATCTACTTTTCAGGTCATACCAATAAATTAAATCTAAATAAATAAAATCCATATAAATAAAAAAATTAATATGTAATAAAATATTAAACAAATTGTATGTATCATTTATAAATCTTAAAATAAAAAAAAAACTGAAAAGATTATTAAGGTCAGAAATATGTTTGACTTATTACTATCATGAAAAAATATATACTGTATTGTTTTCATTCTATATTGATGTTTTATTAAAAAAAATATTGATTGTAGAAATTTAGTTTATAACATAAAGTTGTACAATAAATAGAGTAAATATTATTAAATTTTTTTTTCGTATCTAAGAAAGCTAAGGTTATTTCTTCTTTTTTTTTAGCCTACAGAGATGAGAAAGGGAAACCATGGGTTCTTCCAGTGGTACGCAAAATGGAGAAGCAACTGGCAGCTGATGATACGTTGCTGCATGAGTATTTGCCAGTCTTAGGTGAGTATCATGATAATAAATAAATATTAATTGCTAGCTTTTATTGATGACTTTGATTGTATCAGGAATATGTTGTCCATCCTCACATCTTAGAACCAGAATGATCACACATAGTGCCATTTCAGAGGAGCTTCCTCCCACAAATATTCAGGTTATAGAATGGTTTTTATGTTGTGGCTTTTTTTAGAGACTACAGCGTGGAATTTTCCAAAAAGGGTGTATTAAGGTTTTTTGAGGTATGGCAACACATGTATGACATCCCTGGTGTTGCAGGCGTTCATGTTAAGGTATCAAGTAATAACAAACAAACTTACTTTAACATTTATAACATGATATTATAAATGTTATTAATATCAGTAGGGATGTTTATATTCGTTATGATACCTTATTGGATAGTAAGAGAATGCTGTCAACTGTCACTCAGGTTATTTACTATTTTAGAAATTTTAGACACATACTACTTTAGATACAAAGTTTCTTTGATTTGATCAGTTTTAAGTTTACTCACAATTTTGTCCACATAACCAGGTTTTAAATTGTTGAAATATATATATATATATATATATATATATATATATATATATATATACCCTTCGGTATCCTATATTGTATATTTATACCAAATTTCTTAGTGATTGATTAAGCCAATTATTTATAATTTATTTGCATGTATGTTTATTCTAGCAACCCACATCTACTGTATCAATTTGAATGCAGTTTTCTTATTTGTATTCCTGAAGGTCTAATTTCAAATCTGGTGTATGTTTTATTTTAATACATCATCTAAATGTGGTTCAATTGGATTTCCTATTTCTGAAATTCATACTTACAAACTAGCCAGCAAAAAACTAGTACATAATATAAATATCTATATTTATATATCAATATCTTTGTCCAAGACTTTATTGATGTTGTTGTTGAAATTACTTTATCATTTAATACACTATTTAATTTGTTTTGTTTTTAATATAAAATAGGTTTCATAGATAAGGATTACAGTTTAATCCTTACTAATATTATAAACTAACTATTTCCTTCAGTTTTATCAGCATGAATTATGATAAAAAGTACCCTATCTATTAAATCTGTATTACATATACAAATTTCTCTCAAATTTATTCAGTCAACCAAGTGTAAGAAATATTTAAACAACTGGAAACATTTTATTTATTGGTCGTAATGGATAAACTCAAAAAATATTATACTTAAACGATTTTTAATTTGTTTTCACCTATAGAAAGCTATATTAACAGTTAGTAAACATAGGCTGGTTTTTTTTTAAAAAAACTGATAAGTTGGGCCCACCCTGGTTTTGGTAGTTTATAATATTATTAGCTATTTATCCTGATTATGAGTATTTTTTTAATGGATGATAATGAAATTTTAAATCTGTCTGCGCTGATGATATACGCTGACGGGGCACCAGTGAGGATGAAAGACAGGTCATTTAGCCCATTGTGATGATAGCACCTCGAATTCAGCATAATAGTTTTAAAGGGGGACTACATGGAGGTCAAAATAATAGGGTATATTGCTAGCAATAGGGCTGATAATCCACGTTACTAACAATTTTTCCCCATAATTTGCTATATAAGCTTCAATATAGATACATACATATGTATAACTTCTCTTTGACAGTACTAATTTATATTTGACAAGCAAATTACACCATTTCTAGTTAAATGGTTTCAGTAAAGCTAAATTAGTACTATTCACACTATTATAATTTAGTATGTTAATTTAAATAAATGAAGTTTATTAGTACTTCCTGCTAATAAATGTTAGAAGATATGTATAGCCAGGTATGTCAAATCTAGGTTTATTTCCTTTCGTTCGATCATGAATTTTTTTAATATATAACATTTATTTGCTACATACGGATTTTTTAAGTAAAAAAATCAATAAAATAAACCACTACAAAGTAAAATATTCACTAAATATTAAGTTTTACATCTAAGGAACATACAGACATTTGAAAATTCTATAAATTATTATTTTCGCTTCAATTGCTCTTATTAGAGAGACCCTTGATATATTGTTTTTTGTAATATTTTCTACGTATACACATAAGTGCCGTATAGTCCCGGCATACCCCTTCCTTTTCCATGGAAGTCGTAAGAGTCGACTAATAAAATTTAATGGTGGAGAGATGGACAGCAGCGTCCTTTTTAAAACATTATTAAAGCCCAACAGCAATTGCCAAATCGCCTGCCAAGCGTAATAACTACTGGTGAAAGCCCTTTATGGGGGAAGCCTATGTGATAACAGATAACAGTTGATATGACGATGATATAAATTAGATACGTATATTCTTTCAATATGCGTTTTCAAGCTACCACTAGCAGTATTTCCATTTTCAAGATGCTAGGAGTAATCCCCTTTTGAGTGTAAAATACGTAGCCTAAATTAAAAAGTACAATTTCTACTTTCATTTGTAGCATTTCTTCTTTTCAGTAGCTTTTTTCTGTCTACATTGTATAACATTTACGTCTATATTACGTCTATATGAGTATTTTAATGTGTCTCAAACAACTGTATAAACATAAGTGTTTACAAACCAAAATTGATACAATTTACTTATTCTTTGTTATACGAATGTGCCTGGAGATATAAAATCGATATATCTACATAGGAGACGTCTTGGGGAAAGTACTATATTAGTCATATTCTTAGTTTTTTTTTTTAATCGATGATAATGGAATGGTAACCCCGCCTGCGCTATCGGAATACGCTGGCGGAGCACCAGTGAAGAATGATAGGTGAGGATGAAGCAGGTCAGTTGGCCCATCGTGACGAATTCAACAAGAATTTTTCACGATGGTTTCTAGGGGGAACCACGTGGAGGTCGACCTAATAGGGCATATTGCTAGCCATGGGGCTGTCAAACGCCATTGCTAACAATCCCTTTCCCCCCTAATCATATTTTTAGTTAGGTATACGGAACAAAACTACGATAAGAATCAATCAAGAAATTCACATCTCATCACTGTATGCAGTATACTTATGTAACTCTATCGAGAAAAGTATGTTAACAATGAACGTGTTAACAGTCACCTATAAATAACAACGTTTCATCATAACTATGTTTATCAATTTATCACTAACTGATAGCAGCTTGATAGGTAATTGAGAATGTACATTTTCAATATAAATTTTTTTGTCGTCACCGTACGTGCGTTGGTTAGCGTAGCTGATATCAACTGTTTAAGTGACGTGCCGGTCACAATGCCGGTTTTCTCTATCCGGGTTCCAGCCTATCCTAATTACCTATGGGTATATAGAATGATCCATACATATATATATCAATCGGCTATATCTCCTATTAGAGTAGGCAGAAACAATGGAACGCCAAATGATTCAATTGAAACAAGTCTCTTTCGCTTCCTCCACATTAATCAACGGTTACGGGTACTTTTAATTTGGCTCTTCTTCAACACCTCGCCTATTTGGTCGACATATATCCGTCTAGGGCGGCCTTTACCGACATCTCCATTTATTACTGCTCGTTAAATGCCCTTCGTAATTCTTTCATCCACTCTGTCCTAATAGCCAAGCCAGACGTAACATTCCCTTTTCGAATTCTCACTCTGTCTTTTAATGAAATACCATACATACTTCTCAGAGCTCTCATCTATACAGTATTTATCAAATCAAATCATATTTATTCGCTTGCTACATGGCACAATAAGAAGTTACATACATATACAGGCACATAACATGCAGCACCCCGCAGAGGAATGCAAATGTTAAAATGGTTTTAAGTCTACATTATATTATAATTATATAGTCCAAACATTTTCCAAATTACAATATTTATGTCAAATTATCATATAAAATTATGGTTTATATTTTAAGTAATTTTTAATACATTACATCTTTTATTACATTTTTTGTCATTTAAATATTCAATAACTGGGTAACAGCACTTACCTATTATGGAATATGTGTGGAATATGGTGAAAGTAACAGCACGTATCTTACTTTCATGCTCCTTCTGCTATACCCATTACTTGCTTCCATTCACGCGTGTTGGTGTCAGTACTCCCTGAAATATGGCAAGGCGAATTTTTCTCGATACATGGTTGTTTGCCGTAATAGACAGCGATGCAATGTTAACACTTAATGTAATTAAAATTGGACTCTCTATTCCGCGCTTAGCCTCTCATTTGGGCCGTTATGCGTAGAGTAATAGGATAATAGGCTTTCTCAGGCAGAAAAAAACCTATAACAGTGCGACCTCTGTTGTCTATTGTGCTCGCCCTTTTAAATTTCGTTGCTAATTCCTGACAGTGATCGGAATTTCAAGATGTTTTTTAGTAGCGATGTTTTGTATCTCTTCAAAACATAAGGTATATTTTCAAAAGGAGATATTATTATATCGTTTGTGCATAATTGGGTTGCATCCACAAATTATGCGCTGTGGCGTTTCTTCCTTATTGTGGCAAAATCTGCAAACGGTTTTTTGAGCATAAGCCTAGTTGGGCCTTGTGCTTATTTAGTTTGCAACGCCCAGTGAGAGCCCTTGTGACACAAATGTTTTTACTCCAGAGAGTGAATTTATTTGAGTTGTTTATAATTTGTTAGGTTTATAAAATGCTAGATCGTGAATATGATTCTAGTCGAATATAAAATTTTTAGGCCAATTTTGTTGAGTGGAAGATTTCGCAGGCACAATTTGGTTGCTTGAAATATCAAATATATATCAAATATACATCCAATATAAGATGATGGTATTACTAGCCTCTCTATATTAGAGGTGCGGCTTTAAATCTCACTCACCGAAAAAAAATATCAATTATGAAAATCCCTGAATATCCCACTACCATAATATTGCAAATTCGAAAGTTTGTAATATATATTTTGAATTTTAGATATTTGTTATTTAATTATACCTATTTAAATGACTGAAACATTGTACCACGCATAAGAGTTACTTTTTATATTAATTTACGTGAAAAAACCTGCTGGATGAAGGATATAATAATGATAAAAATTATCTT